CACAGAGCTTTAAGGAAAACCTATTCTAGCCCCAAGTTAATAGTGGTAAAAAAAAGCAAATTTTAAAAATGCAGTGTGTATGATTTCCTATTAAAGTGGGGGAAATCAGTGAAATCTCCTCTTCTGAGATCTCCAATTCATCCTAAACTCTCCCAGCTCTAATAGACAATGACAAAGAAATATTCTTGTCAACCTGAAAAGTAAGTGAGAACTGGTCATGTGCAGAACAGACTGACAGTCCCTCCCCCAGGAATGCACTCCTAAGAGTGAAAAAAAAGCACAAGCGGATGAGAAAGTACAAGGAAACAATAACAGGAGTGAATCAGCATGACAGGTACTGGCTGGCCCAATTTCTCACTGCCCTTCAGGGCTCCAGTCCACAAAGGTATCTATTTCCATATAGTTATTTCCTGGGAATGCCACATGTGGGAAGTAATAGGTAAAATGGCATTGTTCTGCCTGTCAGTGGGATCTTTGCAAATTTAGTGCTGTCAGGAAGACACAGAAGTCCTTTAGCCTAGGAAAAGGGGGATGGAATAAAGAGAGTAAAAAAATAACGTGATTATACACACTGCTTAATCCTTCACTGAAAGAAGTCCAAATACAGTCTTTTCCTACCCTCATTCTGATACACCACTGTAGGCATGTGTCAACTGAGCCAAATCAAAATGTGCAGAGACAAGGGGTTTGAATGGAAGCTTAAGCTCCCTTTTTGCCATTAAAGTATCATTTGAATCTTTTGAATTGTTAAAATTCCTGTGGTTAATGAAGGTGCTGATGCTGTGACACATCGGGTGAATAAACAGCTTTGTAAACAAGCAGTCTGAATTTACTGTCTCTGTTATAGTCACAACTCTTTCCTAAGCACATACCGTAAGATTTAGATTATTTCAAAAAACCATCCCTAAAATCACAGAAGATTTACACCAAATTGAAATAACAACATGAGTTTGAGTTTACTACCGAAGGAAAATACAAACAAGCAATTTTAAAAAGGATCAAGTAGCCTTGATAACTCAAACGAGTTACTGCTTAACTGAGAAGCCAGCAAGTTGAACTGTAGTGACAGCATCACATTATTTGAGATGCCTTAAAATGCTAGAAAGCCTAATGATTTTTCAAAATAAGTGTTGGAGAAATTATTAACTAGTGCCTCATCCTCATTACTCTCCAGCACCAGAAAGCAAAGACTAAGATTTGTTGAAACCTCAGGCTATTCAGCTAAAGGAAGGACTAGATCAGCACTTTTGTCAAGTCTGGAGAGAAAAACTTTTATTTTGCAGCTTAAGTTAAACTCTGTATGGAAAGGAGAATATGCCTTAACCGGAGTCCTTTGTTTTTGGAGGTCAAACCATTTTGAGTGAGTTTTATAAAAAAAAAAAATTCATCTGCAACTCAGTCCAGCAGGTCAGCAAACATCTCAACCGGTACTCTTGTATTAAATGCCAAGGACTGTATAGCTTCTGTCAAGAAGTATCCCAATGATTGCCCAATATGTCATTCCTACACATTAATTTTACTTGCAAAAAGATGTTGTCCTAAAATGCCTCTGAGTTCTGCAGAATTTATAATGCACTGGATTCGACCAGTCAGTGTACACTCTGTCCTGTACTTCCTGAACTTTCTCTTATTCCCCTACCAGTAAATACTGTCTCTTTCTAATTTATCACAGTAGTCAGGAGATGCTTTAGCATGATTTAGAAGAAAAGATTACATTAACTTTATATTTTTTAGAAATAAAAACCCTGAGTTAGTTGCATGAACTCTCCTGCAAGCTAACTGGTAGGCAATAAGTTGCAGTAATAATTTGTTGACATGATATCTGGTCTTGAATATCTAAATAACACCTCCTTTCTGGACGTTCTGTCCCTAAATCCATCATTAGTAAGGTTGCAATTTATGAAGCCATGCACTTATGACTAACATTAGCAAGCACACAATCATTTAGGAAGATGCACTTGGCACCTGCTTGCTGGATGTATCCCTCAGCATTGTCTGGGGGTGAGGAAAAGCTCATTATGCTGCAGCAGCAACCCAAGGGAAGCATTACAGCACTGGAACATGTTAAAATGGATTAGGTTATCTGATCTATCTCCCTACTAATACAAGTTTCTTCTTGTAATACCTTTTAGATCTGGAGAAAATAAGGCAATCTGGACCTCACACTCTTGGGGCCCTACTATGTATCCATCAGAAATTATATCAGTAACATCCACATTTTATCCACAGGTCACTTATTTGATCATACCTATAAATTCATTTTCAAGAATGCTAATTAGAGCTGAGACCTGCAACTTTCACTGATTTTTCTAATCCTACTAGGCAAAACATTCTAGCTATAAGTAGAAGAATTTGGGGCCTTTGTATGGTCTTTTGCTTTTTCATTGTATAATTTTCCCTTTAACAGCCCAACAACGTTAAAATCAACAGAGACAGTACTTTCTGAAATGGTTATTTGTACAGATAAGAAAAGGTTTCAATCTCCTAAGAAAATGTACAAACCTATCTGTATTACAGCACCCCTAGCTGAAAATCTTTCTCTGCTAAGGCAGAAATATCTCTTGCTCCATAATGTCTGTAGACTACATTTTTTTCCATCTGCTTTGAGTTATTAGCAAGGCTGTGAATCTATGATTTGCTGTAATTACAGGCGGGTTTTGTGGTTTATTTAATGAGTGCTTCTAATTAAGAAATGGAAATACTAAACCTGTAAAGCCAGAATTCTAATACTACTGTTATAAGGCACTTTGTCCAAAAATTTTTCACATTTTTATCATGTCCAACTGGCAGCTGAGTTGTCTTTTTTAAAATGCATCTCAGCCAAGAAAGTTGGTGAATTCTAACATTTAGCCAGCTTATCATTCTCCAGGAAGGTCTAGACAATGCTCAGGAAATAAGGTTGGGAAGCTCATTTCAAAGAACCACAGAAAAATATCTCTAAGACAGATATCCCTTGACAGTAAATTCCATTACTTTTTCTCAAACAGGGAGGGCAGCCCAGGAAATCACATCCTGCAGTAATCATCAGCTAAAGCCACTCAGCCATGCCTGATCCCTGGCAAAGGGGCAAGCAACAGATGCACAAACCCTCCTTTATGGACTCTTATCTATATATTTTTGGTCACATCTACAAAAGCTTGAAATACATCTTTAATTACATTCCAAGAGATGCCTTCATATCCAATCTAAACGTCAACACAGAGGAAGCATTTAGAAAACCACACAGTAACAAGGACATTGCACACCTGTAGTAGCAAAGTCACTATAAGTTCACAAGAACCACAAGTGTGTCATTTAATAAACTATCGATTACTGTTCACAAAAAGGTGTTAACAAGAAACCCACGTGGCAAGCTATGACACAGATTTCCAACAGTTTAAAAGTAATTGATGTCCATAAAATATAATTTAGGTTGCAAATCTGACTTTTTTTTTAATGGCTTAATTTAGAGGACTGTGTTTGCAATACTAGCAAGAAGAAGCCTAAGAAAAAAAAATGTAAAGGACCAATTTTAATTAATTTATTTATAGATTTGCTGAAACACGATTCTCTTCTTAAAAACTGTTCTCTGTTTGGATGGCTGTGCTGTAGCATTCATAAACAAGTTTTGTTTTGCTATAAGTGCCAAATATCATTTAGTCTAATTTGTTAAGAGTAGTTGCTTCCTGTCAGTAATTTGAAACACCTGCACATCTCTGTCCCTTTCATTAAAACAAACATCCATGAAGTGAACTGGCCTGACATCTTTGCCTTGGTCACCATGTAACAATAATGATGCACCTGCACACTGTACTGTTAATGAGGCATCAAATGTGCTCCATGAAGATACTGTTTACCTGTGTGTGTGTGTTTACCTGTGTGCATCTCTGTGCAGAGCAGCACTGCACAACATACCCTCAACACTCCTGGCTTACCATTCTTAACAGTTACTATTTTATGAATATCTGTATAAAACAAGCCAATGGTTAATAAAACAATAATGAACACTGTTGTCACCTGTCACAGCTAAGCACAACACAGCAGATAAATTCCTATGACAAGAACTTTATGTTTTAAAGAGTTGTAGCAGCATCCCTTAATGCTTGTAGCAGGATACTGGGAATTGCTGAATGATAGCTGCATCTCTGACTTTGTGAGGCCTTGAGCAAGTCATTAAAACGCTACAATCTGGGCAATGAAAAAAGTACATGACCCCAATTTAGTGGATATTTATGCAGTTTGTGTTTTCTTAAATGTCTGCCTTGATCTTTGTGTTTCTCTTGTACCATGTACACAACAAGTCTAATGATGCATCTTTAGAACCTTCTTGGCATGCTGTGGGGTTTAGTTAATGACTGTACAGCTCTTTGAAGATGCTCAGGCTATTTTATTTTTAATTAATGCTTGCAAGCTACTTTGAGCTTCTCTGATGAAAGGGCTTAAACAAGTACAAAATTTCAGGCGGTCATTAGCCCAACATGCAAGTGAGCAGGATGAGGAAGTGTGCTGGGTTTGGCTGGGATAGAGTTAATTTTCCTCACAGTGGCTGGCATGGAGCTGTGTTTTGGATTTGTGCTGAACACAGGATTGATAATATAGAAATGTTTTTCTTATTGCTGAGCAGGGCTCAGTGGCTGAACACCTGCCTGCCCATGGGAAGCAGCGAATCGATTCCTTTTTTTTTTGCTTTGCATGTGTGCATGGCTTTTGATTTTCCTATTTAACTGCCTTTATCTCAACTCAAGAGTTCTCTCCCTTTTACCCTTCCAATTCTCTCCCTGATTGCTGTGGGGGTAATTAGTGGCTGTGTGGGGCTTGGCTGCTGGCTGGAAGGAAGTAAAGTGAGACTATGGGAGAAAGGAAACAGTTCCTTTTGTCAGGTACCTGGGATATGCAGGTAAATCATAATGAAATTTAAAAAAAAAAAAAAAAAGAGTTAAAAAATTATGAGACAAGCATACTGTTCTGAGAAATGGCAGGCTCCCCATACATGTGCTGTCTAGACGTTTTCCATGGAAATTCTGAGACACATCATTGAGGAATGACTATAGTTTTATGATATAGCTCTGGCAGTTCATGATTTTATATGTTGACAACAGAATATTCTCACCTCCTCCCTCCTTGCCCTACATACTCCTGAGACACAGGAGTGGCTGGCAAATCCACAGAGTCTTATTTGCAGGAGTTGTGAAGTAGATTCCCATTAAAATCAGCATCAAAACTCTTTAGGCCCAATTTCATAAAAAAAACAAACCATGCAGCCATTGAGGAGTAAAGTGTATCTTTACAATAACAAAATGTGTTTTGAGTTGGATCCTCTCAGTCATCCAGCTGGCACAGAGCTGCCACACCTCGATTTATCCAGTGTTTTTGGGGCTTGTCTGAAGGGAGTTCAATGGAGAGAACATAGTTGGTTGAGTGGCCAGTGGTGGATAAGACACCTCTTCTTGCGCTTGTCTTGTATACAGGGCACGAATAGATGTTCATATGAAGAAATTTGGAACTTTCTCCAGGTTTCAGCCAGATTATGGGCAAAGGATCATAAAGGATTTTTGGTAGTGATTCTCCAATTAATGAGGATTCTCTATCCCATCGTGCACCTTCTAAAAAAAGGCCTCTCACATAAGCCCCATCTTGTGGCATTTTCTCCATTGTGTGCTCCTCCTTCATCACCTAAAATGATTAAACCATTGCTTTATTTTGGTTTTACCTGTAGCATATTAAATCCTGTAAGTGATGGTCTGAAATTTCTCCTTTAAATAAAATCTCTTTTCATCTGAAAACTCTATTTCTTGCTGCCCTATAACATGTTTCAAGCTGTTCAAGAAAACCAAAATTCTTCTACATTTTTCTTACCTCAAATTCAAATCCAATGTGGTCGATTGGGATGGTGTATTTTCTGGCATAGTTTTGTAAAACACCGGTCAAAAAAGACTGAGTGAAGAAGAATCCTGAGAGCCAAAAGACTGTGGGCGGCCCATTGTTGACCCAATCCTGAATATGGAGAGAAAAAACAAATGTAAGAAAAAAAGTACAGTTGTGTCTTCACTGTGCCAATTCACCAGAAGAGGGATGTGCTATGAGAGCAAGACAAATAATGGAAGGGTGAGTTCAGAACAAAACAGCTGTTCAAAAAGTGTCTGGAAGTAGTGTCACTTTTTATTCAAATTGAAAGAGAAGAGATTTACAGTCACATATATAAAATTTAATAGTGCCTGCTATGCACTGTTTCCAAAGCATTCTCACACCCAGTTCCCTTTGAGCAGGGAAGTTGTTAAGACATCAAAGCTAATTAAAATGAATCTTCTAGAAATAGAAAAATGGGAACTATCAAAAGCAGCACTGGATTAGCACCCAACTGGATTATACTCCCAACTCACCCTGCTGAGCAATTGCCCAGCTAATTCCAGTGCTTTTAATGCAGTGTATGTGTGAGTAGTTCACAACCTGGAGCTCTCAGAGTACTGCTGAGTGAGGACAGCACTGATACACATTGTACCCACTCAGCTTTTAACTACACCACCCTGTCAGTCCAGCTCAGCATACCTGGAAGAAGACCAAACGACAGAGGAGATCGGACACGTAACTTCCCAGTGGCTTCAGTGATGGATAGGATTTGGCAGCCCACATTGATGGCACTTTTCCCACTAGCATGCTGTTGAAAACATCTTCGAGTTCAGAAGACATCAACACTTGGCCTTTAATGGCTTTGCCTATATTAATGAGGCTGCTCCGAACAACTTCAGTCAGCCTTCAGATTGAAACAAAGAAATTGTCGTCAATGTCCTGTCAGAAATTCCTTCTCTCACCTGTAGTTATCACAACATTTACTTAACTTTAGAAAAGCAAACAAAGAAAAAACACACACAGAGAAATAAAAGACAATGAAAACTTCCACTCTAAACAAGGAAAATTAGGGGCCAGAGGTTTAAAGCTTGTAACACTGACATAGTGTGCTGTGAATATTGGGGCCTGGCTATCACTGACAAAGTAGGCTGCCTTACCTTGACACAACAAGCTCAAATCTGATTTAAGTTCATACTCCCAAGAATACATGTACAGTTTCTATATTCAGGTAATCAGCTGCAGCTTTCAAGTCTTTTTAAAAGATTCACCCAAAGCAGAATATAACATGTTAAAAAAACTGTCTTGTAAAAGGCTTACAACTGTTTAAGGCCTGTACTGATGAACACAAGCATATTTCGGTATTAGCAGTACTACACAAAACACTGAGCCTTACCTGTTAAATCGAATTAGTTCTTGCCTGAGAACTGTATTCATGGACTCTTCATAAAGTACTGGGTATGCCTTCATAACCTCTTCCATGTCATAGCTACTTGGTAATTTGGATAGGATGTCCTGTGCCAAATCTTCAACAATTTCCTGAAATCACAAGTTTGCAGTGAATAAGGAATATTCCTTTTTCTACCCCCCATATTTTTATTGAATAAATTCCACAAAATACTATAGATTTTGTATTTTTTTCTGCACAACCACATAGCTATTTTAGTCCATTTTTCTAGAGATATAGTGCTTACATGCTCTTATTTGTTTTGAGCATTATCCTGTCTGCCAGTCTCCACATGTACCTGCCGGCTCCTTTTTCCTTCTCAATACATTTAAATTTGTTAGCAATTTTGGTTTTATTTGCAAAAAGGTTTTATGTGACTTCTAAGGAAATTGGCAGAAGGGCAGACAAGTATAATCCTATTACTGCCACAATGAAGGAAAAGACAAAGCATGCAGCACAGGGGAAATGATGGGAAGACCACACGAATACCCCAGCCAGGAAAGAAGCTTCACTTACAGCTATTAGACATCAGAGAACATTGTCATTAGACAACCCTGCAGATATGAGGCTCCATTAATTCCACTTTTCAAGAATCCACTTGTGTATAAACTATAGGATGTCAAATCTGAGAGGCTTGAAATGTCATTTATCTATATCTCAAAGGGGCATGGATTTGGCTTGAGCTGCCAGGACATGATGAAGAAATTCCCAGCACTTTCACAACCAAGTCCCACAGAGGGAAGGATGACAGGGAGGTCTGTGTCCAATCTGTCAAACTGCCCCCCCCTTTGTGCCACATAAGCCTCAAACACAGTGACGTGTTTGGGTCTGTAGAAAGTGAAGCAGCAAAGGGGAAGCAAAAAATCACATCTCAAAAACCCAGCATTCAATAAGTAATAACAGACATTGTAGCACAGACTTCACCAGGAAGACAACTTCTGCCTCCAGTGGGCTTATACGCCTTGCCTGATGGCTGAATGACTTGATCTAATTTCCTGGCACTCTGGACTCTGTTCCCTAGTGAGAATAGCAGGGATGGTCATATAACCAGTGCTGGATGAAGTCAGGCAGTGCATGAATTTCCATCATTAGAATTTGCAGACTGGAATTAAACATCATAGTTTAACAATTGCCTAGAGATGACAGGAAAGGGCACCTTTCCAGAGTGCAAGTTCATCTTTCTTCCCCAGTTACCTGAGGGGACTTGCCACCTCCCCCTGCTTGCCTAGGCAAAGTCAGGAGCACTCCATGGAAAAGTTGGTTAGTCTCCTGGTTATCCTTGGTGATGTCTGCATTTTCATGAAGTCCAAACACTTCAGGGTGTGTTATAATTGGCAAACTTCGTATGTATTCAATGTAAGACTGTAAAGCAAACATTCAGATACCAGACATCACACAATGCAAAATTCATAAACACTTGGTATATCCAACTTGGACAGAACCTTCCCATTTACAACCAAACACAGTAGTTCCCTGTTAAACATATCCAGGGACTGACTTACACAATCCACAGAGATAAATATAAAAGTTTTGAGTGATTCAGAGACTCATGGAGGATTTGTTATTACCACCCTCATGTAAGTGGCAAGAAAAAGGAAAGTACATTAGAAATATCCAAGGAGTGCTGGCAGCAGTCACAGAACAGGGTAGGATGCTGTATGTGTCACCCCTACAACTGTGGGCTACACAAATAGGTGGGATTTGAGCACATTTGTTATCTTTCTGCAGTTGTTAAAAGGGAAAAAGGGGATGAAAACTGAGTATATACCTGTCATTCCATCTCTTCCTCCTGACCACTGCTTTCAAGGCAAAAGTGGTGCAAGAGGGTACAGAAGTACCCTATGAATTCCTGTAGCTTCCTATTGACTATCTAGGACTGTACTGGAAACCTGCACAGGTGTGGCTCTTTGCATCAACAAATGGCAGTATATTAGATGGTCACTATGTCCCCATTGGGGTGTGGTAGATATTAAATACCAGATTCATATTTCATACATTAGATACGTTCTGGCCTGGCTTTGTGATCTTATGGGGTTTATTTTCAATTTGTTGTATTCGGCATATCAAAGTATAGTGTAGGTAAGTTCCTTCCCAAAAATTCAGAGAGAATTTACACCTATTTTCTTCTCACCTCATATGGGCCATGTGGTGGTATGTAGTAGTCACCTCCAGCTGAGAGCATGTATTTGTCCTGCTCTATATCCTTGTTATAGACTATGGACAGAAGGGACAGGAGAAGACGCCTGTCTTTATCATCTGTCACTCTACCTCCATAGTTACACTCCCCTGGGAAAGGACAAAGAAAACAAGGACAAAAAAACTGAAACTAAATGAACAAATAAAAACTGTTTTGCAATAATGTGAAAGTCTGGTAAACTGAAGCTCCAAAGCTCCAGATCTATTAACAAAAATAAGGAATGACAAGGCTGACAAAGGATGTGCCAAAAAGCATCTTATCTTTCTGAATAGCCACAGCAACCAAGTTATTTACACAGCTCAACACCTCCTGTTTTAAAACTCATGACTATTATCACATCCTCTGGTAAACTGCCAAAGTTTACTGTGTCAGGCTCACATTGATCAGCAAAGGTGAATCAGAGGCCATCGACATTTTTATTTGATGTATATGAAGCAAAGACCAGGAGGTTTGCTGGGCCATTAGTAATTCTTCTACCTATATACAAGTCAAAACAGCAACTGAGGGTTTGGAATCCAACTCCAAGGACAGTTCAACTCCAGCATCCACCAATAACAACCAATTGTATGTGGAGGGCAAAGAAAATAAACCTGAGTGGAATCCACTCGATTTGTCAGGAACTCACGAGTTTGGCACTGTACCAGCTGAAAGTGCCCAGCAAAGTCAACACAGGAGAGGATGTAGTGCATGTACCTGTTAGATAGGTCAGAGCTTCAAATGGGATTTCTTCATATTCGTTCAGAAACATCTGGATCTGCTGCATACTTATTCTGAGGTCAGATTCGTTGAACTCATATGGAATATTCCAGCCTGTTCAATTGAGAAAAGATACACAGGGCAGTGGTACACTGCACTGACAGCTGGGCTCAGGAGATGATGGTATTGGTACCACACTGCTACCACAGAGCTGAAGATACCACCTGCCAGACATACCTAGAAGAGTCCTGGAATACCAGGCTGTGTACTGCACAAGGGACAACAGGACTCCATAACAATACTGTATCCTAAGGCACTATTATCATCATTCTATGTAATTAAAACATAAACAAACATAGGCATTTTGACATCACACTCTCCTGAAAATGATATTTTACTGGCTTGGTACTTTCAGTTAATCTGTTGCTATCTGGACACAATGAAAACAGGAGTTTTAATTCATTTATTGATTCCAATTTTTCATCAAACTGCCCATCTATTAATACTATTTGTGTATGACATTCAGAGTAACAGTGCAATAAAACAAACAAGCAAACAGGAACATACTCCAGGTAAGAGAATCCTTCAGAAAACCTATACCCTAGTGCAAACCAAAAATAGGGCTATTGCCCCAACTATCCTTCTTCCCCCAGATAGCTGGTCCCATTAAGCAGTAGATGTTGCTTTTGAAAATGGCCTCTTTGTCACTTTCAAAAATTCTATTTTTACTTCATAGCAATATATGAGTGTCTTCATACTGGCAGTTTAGTGTTTATTTAAACAGCTGCCTATTAAAATAATGACAGTGGCTTTCAGTCAAAATAATAACAGCAACCTGTTATGAGGAAGACAGACTCAGCTGGAAGACTGAGAACTTCATGTGCACCAGTGGAGAGCATAAACTTTATAGTGTTATAAAAATGGAATCTATAATTCCATAAGTTCTATTTGTCGTGCAGAATTCTATAGAGTTTTCCACATGTGTCAAGATTACAGAAAAAGCTGAAGACGAATCTCATGATACACCTCTTTTCATTGCTGTCTTATGAACAACACATTGCAGCTACATAAATTTGTTTCACACTGAGTAAATATATGCACTGACTTCAATAAAACAAAGTATGCATAACGTAATAACAAAAGCAGAATTGAAGAAGGCACATTTTTCCTTACAAAAATTTAAAACTGGAACTGGATTTGATTGTTAGTGAAAACTACAGTAATAAATTGATAATTTAGTAAACTATAATTTAATGTAATTTTTGGAAAAACGGTACTTTCTGGTTCTCCCCTGGGTAATACTTTTAGTAGCTTCAAGAGTAGCTTTGCCTGAAAAAGAATTCCTGCAAATAACAACTTTTAAACTTCATTACATTCTGTGCAATGCAGGTTGCACTCTTGTAACACTGCTAACAATACTGCCTTCTTACAGAGAGACCCCAACAATGCATTTCAACTCCACTAATCTTTTTTGAAACAAACTGCAAAATAATCTAAACCTTACCCAGTGGGCCAAAGTTTCTCCTTTCCTGTACAACAGCATGAAAAAAGCAAAGGCCAAACAGAAGTTTTTGCCACATCACTGGCTTTTGGCAGCTGCCAAAGAACACGGGGTCGGAGATGGGGTCATTCAGGTACGATCGGAGCAGGTTCACTCGAACACCTTTCGGGGGCTCATTCGTCATTTTAATGCCATTCTGGAGGATACTAACAGGAAACTTTTCTGATGGATAACTTGTTAACCACAACCTAAAAAGAAGTTCAAAAAGCACATTACCAAAAAATCGTTAATACTGACAAATCCTGCGTGTTGATGATAGAAGACAAAGTTCTACTATTTGCTTAACTAGAATGATAACATCTAACTCTGTTCTGAAATGCAGGCATGAAGTAGATTATATTGGACAGGTAGAAAAGATGACATTTAATTATGGATCTTTATTTTATCGCTACACATAAACAATATCAATTATATTCTTAGTCATTCACACAAAAGTAGTTTAATTTCTTTTTTGTAGTGTCCTCAGCAAACAAGAAATACTCCCATTAAAATGTGCAAAACACTGAAACTCCTACCTGAACTTTTCATTGGTATTCTCAGGCACTATAACTTCCTCACAGATTTTTTCCAAGGCAGGCATCCAGCTAGTTGCAAGATGGCAGTTTTGCAGCACTACCCAGGTTCCATCAGTAATAGCCTGGTAAATCATTTTTGCTGCTATTGGGCCCTGGCCCTGTCCAAGCGAAACGGTCTGAATGCTTGTACTTCCCATGCTGACATCATCAGCAAATTTTAGTAAACCTATGATGGCAAGTGTTTCATACATGCAAACAAAGACAAAGTCTATTAGAAAGTAAAATATGTTCTATTAATCATTTTTAGAATGAAAATAAAGGGACAAAAGTCAACACATATCGTAATTAAAGAAACCCAAACAAAACCACCTCAACAACCCAGAAGTAGTATCAAATGCTGTATCAGTCTGTTTCTGAGGCATGTACTAAAATTTAGGGGTATAAGGTATTACAAAAAAAAACCTCAAAGCAAAAACTAGGCAGGTTAAATGGCAATGGCTGTCCTCTCCCTTGGCCCCAAGAGTTCAGTTCCAGCCTGCACTATGGCTCTTGACTCTCCCTGTTGCCTGGGTACAATTGTTTATGGGGGTTGAGCTGAAAATTAGATCTGGTTAAAAATAGCCCTCCGGCTTTGCTAGCAAAACTAGTACCTTCTGGAAATACATCCTTATGGTATGGCTCCATATTACAATTCTTATGGCAGAAAACCAGATTTAAAAATAAACTGGGTGGTTATACTTTAAAGGACACTTAACAAATGTGTTTCAAGTGTGACCATATACACCATTTAATTAGTAACCAAGAGGGAAGAAATTTTCTGGAGGAGGGGTTGCAACAAAGAGTGGGGCAAGCCTTCAACACCCACTGAAAGAATTGTAATTAAAGTATAAATTATAAACTGGTCTGGATGCTACAATCTGGTAGATCCCTAAACTGCAGCTCAGACACTGAGACATTTCATCACCACTACATTCATCCCACTCTCTAACAAATTTATTATCATTGTTTATATATGGGCAGATGCAAATGTTTGATATTCCATCATTGCTGTATTGTACTATAAAGACACTTTAAGGATCAAATGAAGGGGCCTATTGTCAGTTTATTCATACTCAGTGACATTTAACCAGATAAAAAAAGATATTTTTAATACCAATCTCACCTGCCATAGGATCAGCACCTGGTGATAATATAAAAATCAAAGGGGCACAACAATTTGAATCACTGTAACTTCTCCCAAGATCAAATGTGGGTGGTTCAATAAATGTCCTTCCCATATTTTCCACAATGAACATCTGCACTGCCGGGATAATTTTGTCGGGTCGCAAACATCTGAGAATAACCATGCGATCCAACCCCGTCAGTCTGCTCCACGCATCTGGGAAGGCTTCTTCGTGGGGTTTGACAGAGTCATAGATTGGCTTCCACTTGGAAAAATTGTCTCTTATGTGTTCCATAAGTCCCTGGAGGTTTGTCAGGCAAGATGCACGGACGAGCTCAGCCCATGATTTGTTAGACAGCCAATCTGGAGCCGGATTGGGGTGAGGATTGTCGAGAGCAACACCTCCTGTCAGCAGGAAACGCCAAACCTCATCATCTATTTGGCCTTTTCCCTTCATAATGCCTACTGTCAGAAGGAAGGAGAATAACACCTTATCCTTTTCAAACAGTGAACGACAGACATTGTTATAGATGCTTACTGTGAAATGATCGGTTATATTTTTAATTCTCTGTTCTAGATTTCCACTCTTTTTGCTTTTAGCAATAGACTGAACATACAAGTTAATGAACCAAACCAATGAATATTGGTACATAGGCTCAATGTTTGCCATGTCAGAGATGCAGAAGAAGACAACAGCTGAATGAACAGCAACTGGCTTATACCCCATTCGAGTAGAATCTATTTCCTGCTCAGTTAAAGAGGAAATTTTTTGCTTTTCAGAGATTTCTTCAGATAACTCTTTGGATGAAGACAAAATTTTAATTGCTGTTTCATCTTCTAAGATGTTTCCTTCTGAATGGGAAAGGACCTCCAGGATTTTATCTTCTATTTCTTTTAGTTGTTTCTTGTTGGCTGCGCTTTCTATGATGAGTTGATTTTTCTTTTCTTCTAGCTCAGGTTTTTCCTTTGCAGCTACAATTCCAAGAAGCTGGTCCTGAAGACCCAAAGGTGTAATCATGAAATTGAGTAGACAAACTTTCACAGCCACCTCAGGATAATAATGAGGATTTCTTAAGTGGGTTGTCATGTAAAACCTGAAGTCTCTTGAATATTCAATTATATTTTCCCCTAATTTCATGTATTCTACTCCTTGTTGTTTAAATGTTTGTTTCAATAAAATGGGTTCTATGAAAGCATCTAGCTCTTCACCAATATTTTCTAGCAAGACTGGTGTTCCAAGCTGAATAGAAGTTTCTAATGTCCTCACATAATGTGTGTCAGATAATTTGATAACTGACAGCTTGTTAGTTTTCTCCATATTTTTTATCCACTTGTTAGCTTGCCTTTGGGGATCTATCATCAAAGCCCATCTTCTTGAGTTGGAAACAATTATACCATTGTCAACGGAAAAAGAATCAACTGGCAATCCAGCAATCTGCCACGCCCGGATTTTGACGGGATCCCCTAACGTGTTACTTAAGCTAAAATCACTGGAGCACGGGATGTTCTTCTCACTGCACAGAACCTGCCACTGCTGTTGGCACTTGAGGCGGTAATCGACAGTAAAGGCTCCCAAATATGCCACAGTTCCCGATGATAACAGCACATCTCCTACGAGGTCCGTGTACCGAATTCCTAACAATCGTGCAGCTTCTGTCCACCTCTCTTTCTCTCCACCCAGACCACTAATCAGCTGCTCAGCCCTCACGAGCTTTTGGGAACAGCGTTCAATATTATCTTCTAGTTCTTTCTTCTTGTTATTCATTTTGTCAAACTCATCTTGCAAAGCCTGAAGGCGATCAACTACCTCCTTCAGTGCTGCTTGTTTCACTCTTAACTTCTGCATTTGAACCTCCAGTACTTCTTCTGCCCCTTTCAAACGTTCACGCTTTGGGGCGACCACCTTCTGAACACGGTCGTACACCTCCATGGCTCGCACCCACTTGCAAAGTCCTTCACAGGCAGATGAGACGTTTTTTACGACATCTGGCTGAAAATCTGCGTGACCAATGAACTTCTCTCTGATTCTCTTCATTATAGCGGGGGGAATATTATCCTTGTCGTATTTCTGTAATTTCTCAAGGAACTTGATATCTGAAAGAATTTTTTTAGCTGGCCCCCAGTAGTCTTCAATCATTTTACCTATATTGCAAATGAGACTAAAATCAGGCTTAGTACATGCACGTTCAGACTGAATAGAATACTTAGAAACATAATATGAAGAATTAACATCAATGATTTTGCAATGGAATTTTACTATGCAAAGACTGTTAAATAGTTTGGGAAAATCACTACCTAAAGGGATTCAGACAGGAACTTCAGCATCACTAACCAATGTAATATTTATTAATTGCATATTAATTCTAAATCAACCAAGCACATTAAGGGAAACAAATTACTATATAGTCTTTCTTAGCATAGTCTATTAGATAAATCAGTAACTATGTGAAAGTATTTCTTCCTAACCTAGATAAGACAGTTTTGGATGAAAGGCATTTATAGAATTCTTATTTTTCAGTTATGAAGAGTTGAACTGTAAAGGTATAAGGTAGAAGAAAAGTGAAAGAAAAAGGTCTCTTTCTCACCTTACAAATTCTGTGCAATCTCACAATAGCAACATAAACTACACATAAAAAGCTTGTTAGAGTCATTACCTATGGCAGGGGTATAACTAGAATTCTGCCTCCCAGCATAACTGATAGTCTGGAAGCAGGAATTACAGGGAGAAATGGAGGTGAGTGGTGCACAGCACATCTCCAGCTCCCTGAGTTCCTCCAGGCAATGCAAAACTCAAGACTGGGTCAAAGCAAGTTGAAGAGATGACTCTGTGCTGGTGACTGGGATCATATTTATAAAGCCTGTACAACAGTGTTGAGCCAGGGCAGTATGTGACCATGGCCAAAGCAGCCTTAGCTATTCAGTGTACTTGTAAATCACTGCTTGCCAAAATGCACTTTGAGTGCATGTGCACGTGGCTGCATTCACACCAGAAGCACTTCACCAGCACACCACAGCAGTACCCCACTCATTCCTAGTGCAGGGATAACAAAAGCCACATCATTACCACTGCCACTTGGGTCAGGTTTTCTCTCTGGTTTAGTTGACCTCATGATACAGATACTCTCCATGACGAGCTTAACAGGACCAGGTGGATTCTGCATGGATTTCACAAGAGAGATGTCTGAAGGATTCAGGGTATCAAGAGCTGCCTGTGCTGCAGCCAGAGCTGGCAGGGCCTCAGCAAGGTCTGCTTCACATTCATCCTGTGGGGCAGACATTGGGCAGAAACCTGTAAAGCTTCATCCAATACCAGGTCTGCAGCCTGATTACCCCACACAGCCCCAGAGAACCTTCTCTCTTGTTAAGTACCCAATAAAGAGATTCTTCACAACATTGTGTTTCTTGGAGAGAAAACTACTTTCAACAATTTGACTGCACGGTTTAAAGGGAGAAGGTTTGTAGAGAAATCAGTAACTTCCATAAACTGAATGGATAGCTGAAAAAGCCAGACAAGCTTTCAAGATAACTGTCTCTCTGGTCTGGCAATAAGAATTAAAATAAAGGTTAGATACAGTTGTTCTTAGTTAAATCTTACAGCGCTCATCAGGTGAAAAATGGATGTAGCTTAAATTCTTTATCTTATACTCAGATCTCAGTAGTTATCTGTCTTATCTATCACTGACATTTCCAATTAGTTATAAAAAAAAATGAGGAATCCTGGAGCTTCCCACAGGAAATTCTGTTATAGACATCTGGCTATGGCATTATCTCTAAAATTATGCTTAACAGAGCTCCCTACAGCACTGTGCCAAATTACCTCAGCTCACTCTAAATGAACTGTCTTTGGGCCTGGAGACAGTATAAACTCATTATTCAATCTGTTGAAAATGAGGATATATTAGTAGAGAAGCAAGAGCTCTACAGCTTTTGGAATGTGGACTAGAAAGGGAAGCTATGCAGCACTGTGAGATGCAGTCATTCTCCAAACAGCCAAAATTTACCCTGTTTGTATTAGGAACATGTCATTAGTCATCTCTTGCAACTTTGTTACTTTAAGAACTGGCTCAGCCCATTAACACATCACACAGCTCCCATTTATTCAGAACCCATCCAGCTCCAGGCTCAGGCCCCAGTTCTCTACCTTAATGCCTTGGGCAACAGCAGCTGCATCATTGGCCTCTTTTTCATCTGCTGACACGACTTCCTTTATTGCATCTACTTCAACTGTTTCCTTTTCAATCTTGACCATCATTTTTTCTGTTTCAGCAGAAGTTTCAATCAGTTCAGGCTGAAGGGCAGTCAGTTCTTTCTGCATCTCTGCAACCTGATGAATGTAACAGGAAGTCAAGAAAAGATCTGTGTAAACATTGCCTGCATTTCACATCATGATGTCTTAGGAAGAAAGATCAGAAGACACTATATTAATACAATCTAAAAAGGGACATTTGATCTAAAGAATTATTAATAGTTCTCCAGTTTATTTTTACTAAGAGCTGTTTTATTTAACTGAATAGATTTTTAAATGTATTTTTATCATCATCTATGCAATACACTTGCTTTTTTAAGATCCACTTCATTTCAATAATGAGAAATAAATGGATTAATTCTATTTATTCCTCACAGTCAGTTTCAGTTTGTGAAATCCCCAAATAATCCATTACTGCACATGTGGAAAACAAAATCCAAAAGAAACCTGGAAGGAAACAAGAGTTGGCGACAGCAACAGCTGCAAACTGAATGTTCTTCCTTCAAAAAGTATCTGGAAGCCCTTTTACTTTGCATCTTGGAAAGATCAATCCCTGGATCACATGGGTTGGAAAAGTGGGTTATTTATCTGGAACTGATCAACTTCTTCCTAGGAATCTACTCAGGAATTAATGTTTATTATTGTCTTACAACATTCTTCAATTTCTCCCCTATTTTGAAAAGGGTATCAGGCACTAAGATGCTGTGCTATGGATTCTCCATATAAGGTTTTGAGAAAATGATGAAATTTATAAGGGTTATTCTATTAAGAGCTATAATTCAAACTTAAAGATCACAATTTCTTAAAGTGGCTAAGCAGTAATCTAACTTTTCCTGCTGGCTTTCTATAGAAAACTATTAATACCATCATGAACACAGTGAAGAGCAAATTTACTTAGTATTATTTTTGTAAGTTTTAACCAGACAGACCCCATACCTAAGGATGCATACGGCACATATTCAGCATTTTCATCTGAAACTTACTTGTAAAGATGCAAAATCAAGTTTTTCAAGTCCCACAAGATAACGAGTCCTCATCATGTCAACTTCTTCCCTTTTTTTATTCAGCAGACTCTTAAAAGTAAGAATCAATTCAACGTAGGAAGTTGGTGTCACGTAGTTGTGTCTTCGCAGTGTCGCGTAGTAGCTGACAGAGAGTTCCCTCACACTTTCTTGGAAATATTTGCACAGTGACACAACCCTAGAGAAAATTTTTCCACATTACTTCGAAAGTAGTGTCTGTCTATATGTTAACTATCAGAAAATTACTCTAAGGTTATGAAATCAAATTAGTCTTAGGGAGGCAGAGATGTATTTTCCCTGTTATTAGAAATATTTTGGACTCCTTTCAAAGAAACATCAGATATATACATCTGAGTATCTTTGACTTGCACTGAAATCCCAGATTTGGCTTAGCTTTGCCCATTTATAAGGACAGTTTCCTGATCAAATATGCTGTGGGCGTGGGGGACAGGGGAACAAACATTTGCTTCATATGTTTCTTGCCAGATAAACTCATACTCTTTTCTAATGTCATCTTTGAGTTCAATATCCTCTAAAAACTTGTTAGCAACCATTTCCAAAGCATCTGTAGGCCATGTTTGGAACCAGTCAATGGTGCAGCAGTTTATCAGTGAAGGGAACATCCGTAATCGATTCCGAAATGCATCTCCAATAGGACTCATGGCTACAAAAATAAAATCACAGTCGTTACCTAAGTCTGTTTGCAGTTAAGAAGCAGAAAAAAACCCCAAACCTAAATAAAAACATTCTAAGAAAAAACATACTGAATACACACCTAAAACAATATGCAAATTTTTCTTCACCCTTTCAATAAAGAAACTGTACATAGCAAGGGGAGTGGCTTCAATCTTCCTGTTCTCCATCCTTGCTGCACCTTGCATTTTCTCAACAATTTCAGCCTTCTCATCTGCTGCAAAGATATTAGGCACATCACCAGTGTTTAAAAGCATGTTGATATCTTCCACAAACGATTCATCCTTTATTTGATTATCACAGAACAAAAAGGACACGTTGGTGTTTCCAACACCTGCTTTCAGCATGACTTGTTTAATGTCATCTTTCCATTCATTGACTCCGTAGGACTTGGTGATTTCAATCTGAAAGAGCTCAAAGGAATTCATGAAGGTGGCCAGCTTGGTCGCGCTCTGCCGGCCGCTCCCGCCAACCCCCACCAACAGCAGGTGCCCATTGTCCTGTTTCAACACCCTGCATATCCTGGAGATATGCTCAATAGCAAACTTGAACATGACCAAGGACATTGGTGCTTTGCTGACATTGTTGTACTCCTCAAGGTAGTATTCCATCACGCTTGTCAGCTGCTTTAAGTCTGTGATTTCATCATATACTTTGACACTACTGCTGGGCTTTAAATAGTCTCCAAAGAACAGGCTGCGAATATTATCATCAGTGACTTTTCCAGTAGGTGAGAGATGGCTCAGCACCTAGGGAAAAGACAAGAATCAACAGATAATTCTATCTGTTAGGGAATTATTTTCCTTGAAGTCATAATAATCTTTATCTGTATAGTACTGCTACTGTGGAAAGCACTGTTTTCCACTATTCTAGTTACTACCCTAGCCTGGGAAAGAATACTGTAGGTTGACATGCAAGTTTCCACATATGCACACCTCACAGAGAGCTACTGCTGTCAAATACAGGACAAGTTCCCAAAAGGCTTCTCAGAAATGTACCCACTACATCCATTGGCTTATTCAAATAATTAACCTCAGTAAAAGCACAGATAAAAGCTGTGCAAGACATTTATTCCATTCCAGTTGGTCCTCTCTACCAACACAGAATACTTTTGAAGTTATGAATCATTTTGATAAGAAGTCATTTGTATTAACTTGACTAAGAACATGTATAATACTCAATGCTGAATAGGAGATTGTCCACACTTTTTAAATGCACTGCTTGAAATAATTCAAAATGTCTCCAATACTAATTTAATCTCAATGTCTAAGTACTTCTGAAAAGGCATCAGTCTCATTCTCGGTCCCAGCACATTACCCAAAAATACCTTATTAAAGTTCTGCTTGAAGCTATTTAATGTTGTATCTTGTACCATCTGAAAGAATACCTTCCTGTCATCCTCATCAACTAAGCGATCATAGAAAACTCTGTAAACCTCATGAATCCAAAGTCTGATCAGTTTGTCTCCATCCTGAAAATGTAAATATGAGAAAACAGGTAAATATAGCTCAGGCAGGATTTGTTCAAAAAGAAAAGGTTAGAAATGTCCATCTGGACCCTGCTATACCTTGTACTAAACTCAGTGGGAATCTTTCAATTCCAAGCCATTCAGCACATGGCTCAGCATCTGCCAACCTAACTGGATTCCTCACCTAGTTACCGTCTCGTCCTTCCTGCCAACACAAACTGGGACTCTCATGTCAAGGCTTTTTTCTCTACTGTATCAAATCTCCCCATTCTTCCAAGATACGGCTCATGAGCTCTAACTCAATCTCTTCTCAAAACCCCTCCTGGCTAAGATTTCTCCTGAATAGCTTGTGGTTGTTTTGTTCTGTTTCTGCACCAAAAACATTCCCCCAGCAGAAATAAAAATTTTAATACTCTTTTAACCTGACATTTTTCTGGAAATGGATGAAAAAAGTAGAAGGGTGAAAATCATACACATCTATTAGTATTCATTTGTAGTTTGTGACAACAGACAAACTCAGGGCTAAATTATTTAGTCTTGTTCATGATAAGCTTGCCATTGTGAAAAGGAGATACTGAGTCTTTTCCCACTTTGTGTATTAAGTTTGCAAGTTCAGGAGAGGGGACTGTCTACCTTGATGTACAGGTTTTAACAGGAGGACCTTGGACCTCTGGGTCCAACTGTAATACATTAAAGAATATTAACGAAACAACAGCTCTCTCCCGTGGAGATGGACAGAAAATATATAACAAGGTATTCGGGGACTATTTGGATTTTAAAACTTGTAAATCTATTAAAATCATAGTTCATGTATTTTGAGATATTTACTTATTGAGATATTTACTTATATATTTACTATTATAAAAATAATTTATTTTTTCCATTGCTCTCTTTTATTTTAACATAATTAAACTACAACTTACTTGCAGATGAGTGTGGGGACAGAGCAAAACTCCTTTAATAACCCTGGAAAAATCCCGCAGATTAAAGACATAGTGGGATTTCGAAGGAGTCGGGAGAAAATTATCAACTGCCATTTTATAAATCACTGATGTCGCCTGGACCATCATCTTACCCAGCCTTAAGAAGGAAAAGAGGTACAATTTTAACTTCTGCAGATAAATCACAGGACAAAAGATGACGAAGGTGATATAGGAAACAGATCACATTACTTCAGAAATGAAGAGTCAAAGCCTTTGCTGAAGTGCCAGTCAGTAACTGCAGTAAAAATCTTGGTTAATATGTCATCGTTGAAAGAGCAGATCGATACAATGTTCAAGTGCCGTGTGAAGCGTCCTGTAACACAACAGAAGGATGCAGAGAGATTTAAAATGTCCAAATATTTTTCCACCTCACTCCACCAACAACATTTGAAGCTGGCTCCAGCCACATGATTTTGTTTCCAGCAAATTTCTGCCCCAGCAATGATGCAGAAGAAATACAAACATGTTTCTGTTTTATAGCAGTATTTCACTTGGAATAAGTGTTTTGCATATGTAAAACATGCCTCTTCATTGCAAGGCCTCTATTAAACAAATTTCAGCTCACTTCAGCCCTCTTGACTGTGATTGTGACAGAATAAAACTTTACAAAATCATGTACCTTGTTATTGGCTTTCACCTAAAAAGAATCAGTTTATACATTAGTAGATTTTACAAATTTAGCTATATCAGAACAGTTATTTTCATAAAGCCTTCTCAGAGCATATACAGTTATACCTACATCAGTGTTTATATAAAGCAAAGTAGCCTGAAGTGCCCTATAGCAGTGTAGGTGCAGCTACATTAGGGCTTTTATTGACATAGTTTTTTCATTAGAAAAATATAACTTTCCTTGGGGTGCTGTGACAGGAATGATGGCCTTGCAGGTAACGTGCTTGTTAATTAAATGCAGGCAGCCTATCTTAGCAGCAGGAGACACAGTTTCAGAAGAGAATTGCAAGATGTGTTCCCTCTCTTTGCCAAGAAATAGAAAATCACGGTTTAATCATCATTCACAGTTTAATCAACATTAAAAACATTGTGTCTAATGTTGATTAAGGTACTGCTGGAAAAGGCACAGGTTTGAACTTGAACATACAGACCTCCATTTGGAATGACCCAGCCAGTGAACGTATCTGTACGTCCAGCAGTCACAGATAAATGCAGAATTTGTCATCAGCAAAACTGAACCTCTTAACTTCAATGAACCAGATAACCACTTCCCACACTAATGTATTTCCTACCTGTAATATCATTCCTGCCTCCCCCAGGTGGACCCATGGCTGTAACAAGCAGCACATCTATGATACTAATCTGGGATGCATCTTTCTTGTCATACCAGTGACCATGATCAATCAATTGTCTGAGAAGCTCAATAGCTGGCTGGGCTCCATACACTTCCTTTTCAGGCATGTTTAGGTCATCTATGGAGAACATGGACATTGAATAAAAAAAATCTCAGTGTTTAGGAATTTAGTTTTCTTCGAAGAAGGAAAAATAACTGAACTAGAGGTAGAAAAAGGCTGTATGTTGTTATTCTTGCTTCCCATTAAACTAACCAGAATCAAATGCCATTATACCTCACAGGCATAATTAGGGGTGATGGCTCAACTTAGTGTGGTTGGTGATTTTGTTTTATTTCATGTCATGTCTCACTGAAACTGTAAGAACTACTCTGAAGACAACCACCACTTGAACCTCTTGGCAGGGGACAGTGCTAATCCTTCAGTGATCCTTGGGGGTCCCTTCCAACTCAGGAAATTCTAGGATTATGATCCTTTGGGTGCCTGAAAAAAGCCAAAGAGCACTGAAGCAATCCAAATTTAGTAGTCTCAATGAGCCACTTCCTTTGCCAAAAGCCAAAATTAAAATGATTAGAAAAAAAAACCCTGAAAAAATGTCTTACCCACAAATATTACAGCTTCTTTCCCCGCAGGAGGTCCAAATACTCCTTTTCTTCTTCTGTCCAGCTTGGACATAATAATATCCTGGGTTTGGCTAGCAGAGGTTCTTGCAGAGAAGTTGATGAAACTCGGGATGTATTTTTCCTTTGGAAGTTTTAGTAGAAAATTGTTTGTTATAGCTGTTTTTCCAGTGCCAGTGGGACCCACAAAAAGCAAAGGCACACTGTGTTCCACATATGTTTTAAGAAAAAACATTTGTCTGGCAGTTTCTATTGTTGGAATGGTCAGCTCAGATACCTGTTACCCAGGAAAGTAAAACAGCACATGAAAACCAAACATCTGATACCTCAATCAACAGGAATATTTGCAAGCAAATCCAGGAATCCTGTAGCACAACTGCATTTTTTAAAAATTATGTTCTCTGAAAACCTAGGCTATAACAAGGTTCTAGTAGATAGTGTGGGGTTCTAGTAGATAGTATGGCCCTACTTCTTGTTCAGGGCTTATTCAGTAAGTAGCAAAACTACCTATATTATGGTTCACAGACATTATATAAGACTGGAAGGAGAACTGCAGAGTAAAGTATGGCTTAGTTCTGCTCCTCTACTCTCACTACTGCTCTCCATATCCCAAAGAAGCACTAAGTCTCTTTGCTTGCTGTCTCTAAGTAACTCATACTATAATATCATGAGATCAACCACAGAAAACAAAAAAAAGAAGGAATGGAAATTCAGGCTTTGGCTTTTTCCCCACCATAGTTTCCCCAATGTCAGATGCTATTAGAAAACAAAGCAGAACCAAAATTTTAACCATCAGGCAACCTCAGGGCTCCACATGCACCTGCAGTGCTGAACTTTCAGTATCAGTGTTACCAGAATTCAGACATAGCTGTGAAAAGGAGCCTACAGAGATTAATGAAATGTTGCAGAACAATCATTAAACAGCCTAATATAATAGGATCAGACCTTGCTAAGCTAGTTGATTATACCTCTAAATCATTTACTCAAATAATTATTTTCTATTATAAAGATACTAATGTGAACCTTAGCCCCAGGAGAGATGACTTGCTCTTCTTTTGTGATGTACTCCGTCCACATGTGCCACTGCCCACTGCCATGCTTGTGAAAATAGAAGTCATAAACATTCCCTGTTAATCGAAAGACACAACATAGGAAAACTCACTGATTAAATAACAGACTTCAGTTATTTTAGTGTGAGATGTCCAACACTGTGAGATAATAGAAGCTTTCTACTTCTTTCTTCTACTTTCTACACAAGATAGACCCCTCTTTACCCCCCCTCACCCCCCCACTGCCACATTATCATCACCAAATTATTTTAGGTCAGATGCAGCAACACTGTTTGAGTACAACAGGAGGCATATGCTACTCCTGGTTAAAAGAGCCAGGAAAGAGCACCCAACTGTGCAGCCCAAGGCTTGGCAGATGGTGGCTCTGCTGCAGACTTAACATCTGCCAGGCACTCTATTCTCCCTTAAAGTGACAAGTTTTCTTAGTGCTTTATAAAAGGCCAGGCAAGTACAGTTATGAAGAAGCACCTTTTTCTGGGAAGATATTGTTTTTGGTAAGCTTCACACTTTTAGGGCGTGGGTTTTCCTCATTCATTCCCATTAGCAAGTTGCGGTAAAATGAATCAAATTTTTTTCTGCTGTCTGCATCAATGATCCCACCAACTGTCCACACCAAAGCAAAAAGGAAAAGGCTCTGCAGCCACAAGGTGATTTGCTGACTAGACATGACTTCCTGCTCCTCTTCCTCAGATCCATGTATTTCATCTGAAACACATATTTTGGATTTTAGTTAAATGCCAGTAATAACCATAAATCCCAATGCAAAATACATTTTTGCAAAAGTATTCTGAGATAAAGTTAGAGAATTGTCTTCAGTGGTACAAAGTCAATCTACAAAGTGAGGATCTTGTCTGTGTAAAGTACTGTTTACAAATAAAAATAAAGTTAGAAGAAAAAATATTTATAAGAGGTCCTAACTCTTTTCTTCCAATCCCAGCAAACAGCAAGCAAAACATATGGAATATCAGTTTTTTAATGACATCAGTTTCCAAATGTGAAAGCTCTGTATGCTGGTCAAAGAACTGTTACTAATACTGATCATCGAGATCACTGAGTGTGTTCTATGAACTCAACAGTAAGGAATTCTTTTGGTATTTCCTTGCATCTGATAACCTGCATTTTATCACAGGATATGGCAGGGGAAAAAAGAAAAATTGAAATAAAAAGAAAAAGGTTCAGGGTACTTACCAAGCAGACAAGTATAGAGTTTCATCAAGCTGTAACTCAGATGAATAGAGGATGTTTGTACAATGGCTTTGCAACGATGGTGAATAAAATCTAAACAGGGCTGGACTAGCCACGTAAACAAGTCATCGACCTACCAGGAGAAAAGGAGATGGATGTATAACAATTCAGGATTTGCCACATTTCCCATTGTCCCTCAATTCACTCTCAATTAAAAATAAGGCATCAGAAATTCTCCAGGTTGGCAGAGAGATCAAGAAAGGACTTGTGTGAAGCAGTAGTGAAATGTTTACAAAGTCACACCATCCTTATTTGATGGTGACAACAAGTTGCATCTACCCAGACAGCAGAGCAGAAGCTCAGCCCAGGGAGATCCCTGCTTTGCTTAGAAAACTGTCCATATAGAGCTCTTCAAGTCTTGGTACTTCTTTTGATCGTAATTTCCTGCAAAACCTCAACAAGAGTCTTGTCAAATCACATGAATAAGCCTTCTACAACTCCAATCCTAGTATTACTCCAATTCTTTTACTAGACTTTGATGCCAAGTAACAGGAATTTTAAATTTTGATTAAAAGCTGATTCTCACCAAAACCTACTTTTATTTGCATTTACACTGAAGACATACAATACACAACACAAAGAGCTCTCATTTATGCAAGCAATGAGGTGATAAAAGCTGTTAATGACAATAATAAAAAAGTTCTGACTCTGTATGCCTGCCTTCAAGTAGGCAAACATGTCACCTTATAGTCAATCTTCTAAACTAGACCCATGTGAAAAATGAAGTCTCGCACCAGCACTCGGTGTTCTTCATGCAGGTTTGGAGGCAGAGTTTTCAGGTAGGAATCCTTCAGTGGCTTCCAACCTAACTGTTGTGGGTCCATATAGATCATACCACACCTGGAAAGAACAAACATCTTTGATACAGGAATATATGTGCAAGGTGGGACAGTTCAAGGTGGGATGCTTTCACATTACCTGCTGACGGTTGCTGGAGATGCCTGCTCTAAGTCCGCTGGTTCGAAGATTAAACTCATTTGTGAATTCATCTGAATTATTTCACCACTCATTAAGCATAGCTAGAAGAAGAGCATCACATAAACATGGTCTAGTCATGTCACTGCCGATCAACCCAGTCGAAGCAATGTCTGTCATAAAATCACTGAACATTCTACTTAGTGTCACTCCTCATTCAATCATTTGTTTTCTCACAATACACGATATTGTCTGACCTTGTCTCAACTTTTCCATGTGTTACTGTAAGGCTTGCAGAGACACAGAAAACAATGCTCTATCTTTAAATAACTCTGCAAGAAAAAGCCATTATGACCCGTAGCTTTTTTTAAATTCATTTATTCACCAGGTAATTTAAGCAAGTTCAGTTTTCAGTCACAGAATTGAGTTCATGCATTTCAGTTTCCTAAAAGGGTCAATAAAAGAGCCTCACTGAGCAATCTCATTTCAATAAAGAAGGAGTAAGATAAGGCTTCTAGGGAGAAGTAACAGGTTAATATCATCTAATACCTTCCAAACCCACTCATACAATTAGGAAAATAAAGAGATGCTTTTAAGCACATCAGCCTTTCCTGAGTCCCACGTGTCCTTTGACTAACATAGCAACAATATTGCTACTACCAAAATAAAGTATGTTTCTTCAAGGACGAGGTTATGGGCAAAACTTAGGCTACCTTTTTATTATCATCCAGCACAGTGTTCATGTTCTCTATCCAAACTGCATCCACTGGGCCATCAAAAATAATCCACTTGCGATCGTCTGTGGTAGAAGATGCCTGTTCCCTGAAGGCCTTTGCAAGAACTCCATCTGACCACTCGTGACTGACAGGATCAAAACTGCCATACAGCTGTCCCATAGTAATGGCTTTGGGATTAATAACTTTGTATTCAACAGCAAATTCATCCATGCATTTTGCTGTGTAAAAAGACAAATAGATGAGCTCGAGAATCTGATAGGTTAGCTTCATTCAACAACTGGAGTACAGAACAAGATGATTCCTGAGGATCCTACTTTAGCTGCAAAAGGTAAAAACCCCCAGACATCTGGCAGTAAATAAGAAATTCCATTACTTGTACAAGGGAAGTAAGACGTCCTCTGTACAAAAACATGTGAAAAAATGAAAAAGCAGAGCAGCATAGACTTCATATATTTATGGGAGCTTCTTACAATCTCCCTATCAGAGCTAGTTTTTTCAAGAGTATTATGCACAAATACAATGTATAACAAAATTCAGAAAAGCATAAACACATTAGTATGGCTTACTGTTCCGGTAGATGCAGACAAAAATACTTTTGGACAAACATACCAGCCAAAACCAGTCAAATAAATAGAAATTTTGCAATCAAAAAAGCAGAATACAGGACAATTAACAACCTCGGCATATCTCAGCAAAGGAAAAATATTAGTCATGGAATGAACTTAATTTAATGAGAATTTGGGGGCTGAACAATGTTACCTGCACACAAATCTGCCAGGGCTCCAGCCAGCACTTTGTATGAAGAGGTCTTCCCACTCATAGGATCTCCAACAATCATGAAACCATGGCGCACCAGCATCATTTCATAGACCTGTGTCAGGGACGAGACATCGGCTCTTTAGCACAGCACAAAACAAGCATCATGTGTATGAAACCAGAGGTCTCTCTTCTGCATTCAGATGTGACAGGACAAAACATCAGTCAAAGGTCTGCACTCTGTTGGCTGACCAAATCCTTAATTCCAATCAGAGGGCAGTCATATTTGCATGGCAATTCTCACAGATATAATTTAAGAAGTCATTTACCCCCAACATCCTGCCTTTCTCCTTACTAAATGTTATCCCTCAGCTGTAACAACATCACTGTACAGGGTTTAGTGCACTACCCAGACACTGCAGATCACAGCCCAGCAAAAGCCTGAACTGGAAACCAATGGCTACCAATGAATCTGACACAAATGGATTGAAACTCCAGCTCTGAGGATTTGTCATAGGACTGGTCCCACAGAGGCTGACTTTGGACTGCAGGAGTAGTAACTTCTTCAGTCACCCCACAAGATCTTGTCTAAGCTCAAGTCAAAGCCTTGACAAAACACCTTCAAATAGACCTGTAATAAGAACCCCTAAGAAGATTCTTTTTTAATCTCAAGTTAAGGCTGATATTTTCTGGTTTAGCTTAAATTCCTAACCAATTAGTACTACCCCTACTTCAAAGAAAGATATAGCACGGTTTGCAAAGCAGCATAAGGCAAATCTGAACAAAAGCCACAAAGTCTGAACTGCTGTTGGAGAGGCCACTCATGACCCTGACCCAGACCACACATTTTTACCCTTCCATCACCCTGTCACTAGGCTGCACTACTCACAAGGAAGAAAAGTTAAAGGCCACCAATACTATATGGGAGAGAGTGGGAACACAGAGCTGGAGGTGAAGCATAAGCAAAGGGAGAAATATCACCTCTTTCAAGACTTCTCAAGGACACTGTGAACAGAACTGGGAACAAGGCCTGACTCCCAGTCCCATTCTGTTCACTAGGCTACACTGCCTTAGCCAGCAACAGATTCAGTTCAATTTTCTATCCTGAACCACAAGACCTACAATGTGGCTGCACACATGAGCTCTTTCACAGGCTGGTTAAATTACAGAATCACTATGAGCCAATCAGGCTTTTATTCCGTGATTTTCACTCAGTAAAAATACCCCATTTATAATATTCCATTAACTGATATTGGAAACTATTAACTATTCATTCATGACACAGACAGGGAATGAAGAGTGTTTCTGCTCTCATGCTTTTCTTCCCTAGAAGTATGAGAAAATAAACCTGAATAATTTTTCCAATAAACCATGGAACTGGTTGAAGATTCATCTTCTCAATATTTTTAGTTAGTGCCTTGATAAATAGGTCATAGTCTGGTGTAGGAAGAACCACTCCAGGAAACAGGTCAGATATGATACCCTGTTAAGGAAAGACAAAATAGAACACTACTTAAACACAGGTTACAAAAAGGGAAAATTCCCAAAGCATAAAAATCTACAAGTAAAACAAGAGTCATACAGAAAACAGGAGCTTGAAAGTAAATGTCCTCAGCTGGACAAAACTAAATTCCAGGCAAACTGTAGCCACGGCCTGCATTTTTCATAAACACACTGATATTGTAAAAAGAAGTTTGTCCCCAAAAGTATTTCAGGATAAGGATGTGAAAGTTGTTGAAAGAATTTCAGTGATTAAATAAAAGGGTCTGTGTTGCAAAATATCAGAGCAGTGACTGTGTGTGCTTCTACCCTAGCTTTTGTCTTTAATATTGATTGTTTTGTAGCTTAGCATAGTCTTTATTTTCTATTAAAGCAGCATGCAAACAGAAGCTTCATAATTTTTATTCTGACTTCAAATTTCTAATCGAGCTTAATTTAATTGTCCACATCTCTTGCAGCACAAAGCCAGAATACAAACTTCAAAGAATAATTTCTACAAATGAAACAGCACAAGGTGACACTTTTAGCAAGATATCTTCTAAAACATTCCATAGAATAATTTAAAAGGCACCACTGAAAGTTTGCTTCTCAAAATAACCCTAACAAAACCAAAGAGTTCATCCAGACCAGTGGACTGAAAACTGACAGTAATATGGCATCATCTAGATCAAAATGTTCCAAATGAAGATAATGATCTGTTTCTCTAGGTTCTTTTAATGGATCTCATTAAAAATCCTCAAACACTTTGGCCTGATAGGTTACCTGAAACAATGGCACATCCTGTGACAAGAACTTGGCCAAATTAACATCCATCAAAGCCCGAAGTAACAACACACTTTCATTTTCAGTTGGGTACTTCAGCTTTAGGTTTCCTGCTGCTGTCAGGACAGATTTGACTGCACGCATCCCATAGTCATAGTGGTGCTGGGATGACAGCTGCTCCGAGCACAGACGGTACGTGGCAACAATTTTCTGGGCAAGACTGTGGATATTAAAACACAACATGTAAAAGGAAAATATCTCACCATGCAAGGAAAATCCTTAACATACACAAAGTAACTGCAGTGATCATAAGACATATCAGCTGACAAGATGGCCCAAAACACCTGGGAAGCAAGATTATGCCAAGGTAGAAAATGTGTGTGCCATTTAGGAATTCTGTTTGATATTATGTTTCATTTTCCAAAAGATCTTGTGTAGAAGTGCATATCTGTCAACATGAGGTGGTGAATGGGAATTGACGATAAAGCAGGAGACTGAAAAGGACTTTCTGGAGATACAGAACACAGACAGCCTTCCAGAATTATATGCATCAAACACACATATATGCCTTACAGAGGAATGAGGTATATCAGACTCAACTGAGATGGAAAATTCAGCATGTCTTACCTCTTAGAGTCCAGAAATCCCATTGAATAAAGGGAAATTTCACCAATCAAAGCGTAATCTGGAACCATCATGGCAACTGTTCGGAACAGTGCCTGTAAGGAAAAAAGTAAGATACCACCTTTTGACTGTGAAATATGGCAATAAATTGTGTCAGTTTTGTAGGAATATTCCAGACCATATGGTGTCATGCTCAGCAGAAGAAGCAAGAGAGGGGATGTTCGGAGTGATGGTGTTTTTCTTCCCAAGTAACCATTACACACATCAGCGTATTATTCTATTGCTGACTTTTCTTATTACAACAGACTAGAAGTAGCAAATTCTCTTTAATTTCTACAGGAAATCAGGATTTCAGATTTACCTTCAGATTATCAGGCAACTCTGCCCGTCCAGCATACCCAGGATTCATCGTGATAAACACAGCACATGTAGGATTAAGAGAGAGCTCTGTCCCTTCAAAGATGAATTTTTTGAGTTTGCGAATAATAGCTTGCTGGATGCTAAGGATTTGTTGGGCAACTACAGATAATACTTCAACCTAATACAGACAGAACAGATTGGAAAACATAAGACACTTGGAGACAATATAAAATGGCTTTGTTTATATCTTTTGATGGCTATCTTTGCATTCCTCCAGGTGAAAATCACCCTGTGTCTGATAACTGAGCCTAAATATTAGCTGCCTATTGAAGGCATCTTCTGAAAGTTAGTGCCACCATTCTCTATTCAACCAATACAGTCAGATTAACAGAGACTTCTAAAAGCCTCCACAGGGAAATGCCATGTGCCTGTGTAGACATCTAAGTTAGTTGGACAGGAACTCCCTCTGGAGGCCTCTAAAAGCACTTTCCCTTCAACTCAAAGGATATAGTTTAGGCTCTTCAGAAAGACTGATTCATTCAACGCCTCGAATTGAGGGTAAGGGATGGGTAAGGCTGCCCAGTGTCAATCCTCAGTGTTTTAAAGTATCAGGGTAACAGAATATAACGCATCAGGGTAACAGAAAAGGAATGCTAACCCTTGAATTCAGTAGAAAACAAGCTACAGCAGAAAAATGGAAAAATTAAGGAGTTAAGAATGCTAATACAAAATAGAATTTAATGAAATTTCCACATTTACTAGCATGTACTTAAATCAAACTCCATCAAAATAACAACAAAACTTATCCAAAGTCATTAGTGACCAAATTAAACAAACTCAAAAAGATCGGAGTAAGATCAAGGAGGGATTTAGATGTGTCTGTTTACACTGCTAGTTAACCAGGTCACTCAGCTAGTCACCACAGGAAGCCCTCCACTGAGATTTGTCTGTCCTGTGCTGAACATAGACAAATGCAACCCCACAGCTGTAGCTTGATTTCTCAAGAAGACAAGAACAGTTCTTTCCCAACAAATGAGTGTCACATACAAGAGAAAAAAAATGTACAGGAACAACTTTTTACAGCTAAATTAACCCAGAATAAAAGACTGCTGCAACACAGCACAGGTAGGCATGTGCTCCTAGAGCAGGCAGCTGAGTACCTATTTCTGTGTCACTGATTATCAAAACAAAGAGGCTTCACCACAAGCAAAAGTAGAAAGTCGGCAATAACGCTGTCATGCCTAAATCTAAAACTTCTTGTGTCTTAAATTAAAGCTTTCTCCTTTTATTTGTCTGAGTTAGAACATTACCTCAATTCTATTGAACTCATCAAAGCAGGCCCATGCACCAGCTTGTGCCAGTCCCTTGAAGAATTTGCCCATTGCCTTGTAATCAAGCCCATCGGAGCAATTAAAGACAACACACTACAACAGAAACACACAGAGAACATTTCTCAGTATTAACATAAAGTCCACTACAATATACTTAGCATCTAAAATGGGAAGGGATTACTGTTGCTAATTTTGGATTACAAGACCAGGATGCCATATAGACACAGCCCTAAATGTTTGCTTCTTACCAACTATTTCTGTGAATATAGAATCACAGAATCATTAGGTTGGAAAACACCTTTAAGATCTTCAAGTCCAACCATAAATTAACAGCTCTAAAACAAGCAGTACTTGTTAAAGAATGGCATTTCAAGAAATATCTACATAGCAAGAAAAAAGGGGGTTTAAGTACCTGCTTAGCTAGTGCTTTTGCTAGATCTTTTGTTGTTTCTGTTTTGCCAGTTCCAGCAGGCCCTTCTGGAGCACCACCAAGATTTAATTTCAAGGCACCCATTAATGTCCTACATTATCAAGAACACAGGCATTGGAAATAGTAAGCTTTAGATTGTTTCTGAACAGATTGATAAGTATTTTCCTATACAGGTTCCCTTGAAAAGAATTTACTTGTTTCTCTACTGACTTTGCAGCTTATCCTAAAAAACCAGTATTGTTCTCCTAAGTGATTCTCCATTGTGGATGCTTACATTTACCCACTTGGCCTAAAAGGAATGTCAAAGTTTTTATAATATCCACCTTGTATATCCTCAATTACACAAGAAAATGCACAGTGCCATGAACAAAATGCCAGAGTCTGCAAAAACACACATTTTCCTCAAGTGGTACTTGAACTGGCAAGGCTGGCTTTATAAATTAAGCCAATCTTTAGAAATGGGTGAGAAAGCATAAAGGTTGTTTCAAAAACCTGGAAATGGTATTGCTCTCCAAGAGAACTTCTAAAATGAGACCCCTGTTAACGCTGCAGTGATCTGATTATTTTACAGAACACTCATTCAAAGGCTTTGACCTGTGTCTCTAGGGCTCACCAGAAGTGAAATACCAAATGCCCTTGAATATTTCAACCTTGAGAATGAAGTGTTTTCATTTCAACCTCTTGCAAGCCAGTGGAGGAACAGGAAGCTAACTCCATTCAAACATCTGTGAAGGGCTCTGTAATTGCCTCATTTATCTTACAGGCAGGCACACCCAACCTGCGTGTCCTAATTCAGATAAATTAATTGACCAGTGCTACTGTGGAATTGCTTATAATTCCAGTACCATGAGCTGCCACCTCTTTTCAGAAGCACCTTCCTGGATACAACAGAAAGAATTACACTACTGGTGTAGAAACCTACACATAGTAAATATTTTACCATATTTGGGCAAAGAAGATATACAAGATTTGCCTCCAAAATCTACAGGAAAATCTTAGCTGCTGAGGTTCCTGCTATTATTAACTATAACAAATGAAAGTAAATACAGATCAATCCAACAAATGAAAACATTATTCACAGACAATGTGGTTTTACCTATAACATCGGTCTGTTAGTGGGGTTATGACCAGACGCTGGGAATTGCCCAGATACTCGTAACCATATTTCATTTCTGTTGTAATCATTCTCACTACTACATCGTTCCCTTCCCAGTAGTATCTCAGCTGAGAAATCCACTGAAAGTCATTCAGATCTTTGACTTTGTCTTCAACCAATTTTGCAACGACATCACGAGCTGCAGAGTAAGAAACAGATTATTTGAAAAATGTAAATACTTCTACTGTGTTAGTTTACTTAAAACAACATATAAGTAAAAGTAATATTTACTCAAACTTGTCAACATCTAGAGTAGTAGGCTGGCTTTCATGTTAGAAAGGAATTTGCAATTGTTTTGCATAGAGAATCAGCTTAATTTGATCTAGATTCCAGTGCCTAAGTAGATGGGAGATCTTTGTGCAGTAGTGGGCAATCCCCATTTACTCAGAGACACTGAGCAATAATTCTGTAAAGGTTGTTTCAAGTTAGAGAAAGCATTTTAGCTGCCTCTCTCAAATAGTTCACCCAAGTACCAATAGGAGCACTGCCCCAGATGGAACAGAAGTACCAGCAAGTGCATGTTACCGTGCACATCGATGACAATGAGAGCTCCAAGTGTCAGCCGGGCTCCACTGGACAGCTTCCCTCTCACTAACTCAACAATCTCCCTAATTTGTAGATTGCTCTTCTCCAGGAAATCCTGCCACAGAAACAGAACACAGGCATTAATGTCATGCTGTAGGTAGCAGTTCCTACGCTCCCCTGGATGCAGTCATTGGAGACAGCCTGTTCCAACGAAACATAATAATGGAAGTCTGGGCTCTACACAAACATCTAAAATTCTCCTTTGTATACCAGCCTTTTATTTCACTGTGAACACTAAAAAAATCTTTATGGCCTGAAAGTAGTATAAACAGAAGTCTTAACTTTCTTCCTAATGGAAATAACAAAATTCTGCGATGGGAGAAGAACAGATTCTCCCCCTTACAAGACAGAAATGGGCAACTCGGACCAAGTTCATTAGCAACTTGGTTTGGCTGGCCCTACTTCAAACAGGGGTTGAACTACATGTCCAGAGGTCACCAAACTTTTTGTTTGGTACTTTCATTTACACCCGTATCACTTGTAAATAAAGTAATACAATTTGCTGCCGTAGGATTTCTCCTGATACACACCAGAGTAAGTGGGAACAAACCCTTGCCAAGACACAATAAAAAAGGAAATAGAAAATAAAGCACACTGCATGAATAAATTGCAATATGTTGACTGAGGATCTTCTTTGCTCAAAGGAGCTTTTTACTAATTAATCAGAGTTCAGTACTTAGAAATAGAAAGTTAGAAGAAAATCTTACTGGTAAAGTTCCTTTGCTTATGGCCTCAGAGACTTCTTCTGTCCAGTAAATGGATGAAACACAAATAACTGCCTGCCCAGGCCACTGAAGTACCCACGTTTTACGAGGAACCTTAAAGAAAAAGATTCATTCCAGAAGTCATATGAACACATTAGATTATGGCAGTGATAACAATTACTTTCCCCAAACGTCTTTTGTCTCATGCTGTAAATAAATGAGAATTAGCACAGAAGGCCTTAATACTTTTTCTTCAAGAAATTTAGAGTTAGAACTTCAGACTGGTACTACTGAACAAGAAGAGTAGGATTCCACTTAGCTTCAAAAGTGTTTCCCTGTTTAAGAGTTTCAGCAACATATTCTTGTACATTTGCTTGTGAAATCTAATTTATACTATAGTTCAGAAATAGTTACCTCACTATATCCTTTTATGCCATCATGAAGAACTTGTCTTACACTGGCCAACATCATTTCCTCTACTTGAAAAAGCCATTTTTCTACCATGCCCTTTAAGATAAAAATATTAAAGAGTCAGTACACATTTCCTGATTATATTCCTCTTAAAGGACAAATTATTCGAAATGCATTAGGCTTAAATATGTTTCCTTCTGATCTGAGTATCATTTATAAAAGGAATAAAGGTTGAAATTACCAAATTCTGACAGGCAATATTGCAGTTTACAATGTCTGAAGGCAGGTATATTAACCTAACTCTAAAGACAATCCAGCTAAAGAAGTAGCTGGATATGTTTCAAATAAGCAAAACAAAAAACCACACATCACAGATTGCATGGTCAGCTAACCTTGGGCATTTTAACCCAGGGCATGTTTTGTCCCACCTTTCAGCTCTTTCTGGTTACCATACAGCAATTCAGCAGTTCACCTTCGTGTTGAGAACAGCAGAAGATACAAAGAGCTGAGATACTTTTCAAAATGTATAATGCTACTTTTTCTACTCAGATCCCTTTTGAACTAATGCCCTGTTTCTTCACTGTCAACCATTCATCATTTCCCTCATTTCTATTTCAGCCATGCTATGAAATGTTACATATATACATAGAGAGCTTGAGTTTTTATATATGTGTATGCCTGTGTGTATATCTCTTATCTATCTACATCTTAAAAGCAGTAGGTGCATAAAGCTGCAGAGAAGTGCCCAGAGGAATTTACTGCAAAACTGCTGTCTTACTCCTTCTTGTAGGAAATCCTTTTTATTCCAGAACACCAGTCTACACTCTCACTTCCTAAACACCTTTCATGATGTGACTCTAAATGGTTTAAGCCTAATTCCCTCAAAAATGTGCACTTTACAGAAAGTATTAATTTAATTTCATATAGTAAAATTCAAAAAAATTACATTTGCTTTCACTGGATAGATTTTATCTATGAAAGGAACAACTTCTTTCTCTGAACTAATCATGCCTACGATCTCCAGATCTTCTGTGAACTCCAGCTTAGCAATTCCTTCAAAACACTTCTTTAAATGTGGTTGTACTCGAAGGGGATCCTTTGTTTCAGACAGTATTTCAAGCAGCTCATCGTTAGACAGGAAAAAGAATCTGCCAGAAAAATACAATTTCCAATCATGAAAATTGTCATTAATAATCTATATGTGCAAGACAGATGGAATTGGTTTTATTGTTGCTTAAGACATTGTATTCAGAGAGGAAATGGTTATATTAAATTGCTTTCCATAAGCGATTTTTAACATTATAAAACTCATCACATCTGTTTTTACAGAATTTCAATGTGACCACTCTTTTACACAAAGGAAGAAATAAGGGTTCTCAAACTCACATGGGAAAGACCAGATAGCTCTATGAAGTCAATAAACACCCTGCAGAAACAGAGTCCTGCTCCTCGTGATCATATACCACTTCTACGCTCCACACACCCCTAACTTAAGAGGGCAGGGCAGAGCCATAATTGCATATCAGCCATGGGAAGGCAGCAAGTTCCTTCAAAAATACCCTTTAAGAAATAATGCCTTTCTAATCACAAGTTTACACTGTGCTAGACAGATTTTTGCCTCCCCATCCCAGCCCCTCCCTGGCATTTCATAACTGGAGCTGAGGAAAATGAGTTATGTCTGGAGATAAGGATAGGTTTTCATTTTTTGTTGCAACTGTGTCCCACAGGTGTTTATAAAATGAGACTTTTCAGTTCAGTAGAAATGGTTTGCAAGAGCTTATGGCTTCTTGTTTCTAACTTAGGCCTGTTTAATTAATTTACCTCGGGAAAAATAATCTTTTTGACTCCAAGTAAGTATTCAGCCCCTTCTGAATGTCTTCTAAGAGAGTATTTGCTTCCTGAAGTCTGTCTAACATCTTGGGTTGTTCAGTTGCTACAAGAACCTTTGTGTCTTTCACCTTTGGAAAAACAAATACACAGCAGAAACTGCTAAAAATTGCAATAAGTTTGTACAATAAAATTATTATCGTCAACCACATACATTGCAGGAGGCTAAAAAGCTAAATATTCTTCTTTGTAGTGTGCTTTTATGTTACTAAATATGCATTCATTATTTGATAGTTTCAGTTTTCAGACTGTCAGTTTTACCAATTTGAACTTTACAGACAGTAATGAAAGAAATATCAGGAATTAAAATCTTTGGCACTTCTTCCTGTGTCTTGAGCTTGCTACATTGTTTTCCATTCACAAATAAGTTCTGTCAAACACAGCCACAGTACATGACAATTATTCTCTGCTCTTTCTATTTAGGTTGCATTTTTTCTTCCTGGTAACACTCCTCTTCAGAGGGTCCTATTTCAGAACAGGCTTCATCGTTCACAGTCTGAGCTGTTGGGCAGGTCTCAACTTCTATTTAATTATCCTGGTTATTTCAACACCTTTATCACACAACCCCACTCTCCCAGCAATTCTGACAAACATTTCAGCTCACACCAACATTAAGTATCTGCCTCTTACCCAACTCCTTATTTACAGGGAATTGAACAGGATGCCAAATTGCACTTACTTAATAAAAATACACAGTTTATGAAATGTAAGCACTTACCACTTCTGCCATAATGTTTTTCCAGTATGAATCCACAATCTGAAACTTTCTGCCCTCTTCAGGCATTTGAGCTACAATGTCTTCTGAGCTAAAAATTGGTTCCAAATACAACCATGTTGCCTGGCATTTTAGCCAGCTATCTAGAATATCTTGCATTAAACACAGCTTATCTTTCCAAGCCTACAATGAAAACATTTAATAGTTAAGCAAAATTACCTCAAGAATAAATCAAGAAATATGAATATGTGTTCTTAGGAACAGTTAAAAACTCTATCATGTCTTACCATGTCAAAATAGCTTAAAGCACTTAGGGAAAGCATATTGTGAGACATGTAAGCTCAATCAAACTGGCTTTTCCTTACCAAGCATTGAGCTTCGATTGGTTTGATGAAGGGAGAGCCACATATTGTCTGAGTCTTAACGATGTGATCATCCAGCAAAAGCTGGATTTCATCCACTGACGCCAGGATGTTGATGTCCTGTAAATACATCACATTTTGTTAAGGCAAAAGGCAGTCACTTTATTTCACCACTCTTCAACCTCCCACTCATTCAGCTTCCTGTTTGAGTTTTCCATCTCTATGATGGTTGAAGCAGCAAGGAATTGAGAAAGCCTGCAAATGTGGGAAGGTATCAAATGGTATCTCCTCTGTACATCTCTGTTTCAAAGGTCCAGAGACAGATTGTTTTGTGAATAGGAAGCCAGTGCCTTCTCACTCCATCTTTTGCACTGGGATTCTTGTATGTTCTGGCCAAGTTAAAACTTCACTACTAACCAGCTTTCCATACAACACTGGAGAAGTACTCGAGCTTACAGATTTGTTAGGATGAGTATGTGAGATCATATGCTGTCCAGATACTAAGGCCCAAATAAAAGGATATTTATAGTAATGGAGACATTTGCCCAGCTCTGGGGTATGATACAACTTTCCATCATGCCACAATGAATCAGAGGTAACTTCCCTCTAATATTTCTCAGTTGGTATTCAGAATCAAAGTAGCTCTTTTCAGCTATGTATTCTGATTTGGTGTTTACTTACAGTATCTCTGTACTGCACCAAAACTAAATGCACATTGACCCACTCTGATTGCATCTTCTCTATTGATTTCTCTAAGGAATACTCCTTACTTGCAGCTGCTCCAACAGGTTCCAGTCTAAATTGAAATGAAACATATCTTTGAAAGTTTTTGTAACATAGATGAAGAGCAAAAAAAAAGCCGTTGTAGGTAGAGTTGCATATCAGAATACCCTTAATAATAATTTGTTAATAATATAGAATTTTACTTCAAGAAATATTTTTGAACTTTCAGGCTCACCAAGTTAGAGATATCAATATTAACTGCAAGACAAGTAGAGACTGAAAATTCTAAATGTGCAAATTAAGTGGTTTAGGAATACAACTCTGGATTTTAATGCCTCTGTGCTACAAGAACAACTGACAGTTCATAGCTTGATAAAATACAGCTGATTTTACAGCACATTCTAACAGTACACAAACCCCCAAAAGAACTAATATTTAGTATCTGACCTATGAAACACAATGTCTTAAAAATGAGACTAGAGTAAGCTTCTTACTGTTCAATATATTTTGAGAGTCCAAAGTCCAGTATGTTTCTAAGAGTAGTCTTTTCATCAGGTTTGATCTCACACCCTACAATTTCGCTAATCTGAAAATAAAGTAAGAAATAAAACCTATTAACAAAATGCATTTTCATAAAAGACTTCTCAAACAGCAATCCATAAATGCTAAAGAAGCATTAGTGCAGCCCCCTAATTTGCTTTTCACCATAAGTTATTAATTCAAAGAAGCTTCTGTCTGTAGAATTATAAATTTCGAAACTGGATCAATTCTGTGACAGGATAAAAGATTTTGGAAGAGTTTGAAGTACCTGCTCCCAGTGTCTCTGCTTCATTCCACGATTGCAGGCAATTACCAGGATAGGAATATGCTGTTTAAATTTATCAAGTTTATATTTCATAGATTCTGCCAAACGTCTGGGCCCGGGCAGGTCTGGGAAGCTCTTACAGAGCTTGTACATAATCCTCCACATATTTCCAATTTCTTCAGTAATTTCATCAGCACTAAACTGCTGTAGAGTTCCTGAACACAACAGTATAAAAAAAAGCACATCAGGCACATCAGCACAAGGGGATTTCTAGGGTGGTTTAATTACAGCTATTTATAGTCATTCTCCTCTAACTGGAAATCAATTGTGTTACAAAAAATTATCTTCATACAAAATCCAAGTCAGTAACTCTGTTTCACACTGCTTAAGAGCATTTATTTCTTCAAAATTATCTTCTCACGACTAATCAACCCTTCCAGCTTCTACTTAACTCACTGAAAATAACATGTTTCATCAAATGAACACCAAAGCCTCACCATTCATCCACTCCTCAGATTTGGTATGGAAATTATATGCTGTTACCCAAAGTTGCTCAAAGGGTTCTTTCCTTGCAATTATACTTTGCAATAGAGGAAATTGACTCTTCTCTCGCCCAAGCAAATCTTCTTCTCTAGTAATATCCTTTACAGGGGGAAAAAAGTGTATTATTTCCATCAAAAATCCCTACTGTGGTTTAAACTTTTAAACAGGTAATATTGAATACAATTATTTTACACGTCTTAAAGCCAGACAGATCTCTAGATATAGGCCTGTGGATTTTAGGGACATAAGGTAACTGTTCTTGAAAATTCCCCTAGTTATTTTATGGAATCACAGACATCTTTTCCAGCCTAAACAATTCTAAGATCATCAAGTCCAACTCTTAACCTGGCATTTGTTGGTATCTTTTACTGCCCAAATAATTAAAAAAATCTATACCCATTTTAGAATAAGATAATGTAGCTTGGCATTCAGTGAAACCAAGGCTCAAAAGTTTCCAATCCACTTTGAAATCTGGATGTAAGCTCTTCAGTCAAAGAGGTTTACAGGAATTTTGTTTAACTTGAGATCGTTATTTTTTTTCTTTTACCGAAACATCTGGGAGCTCCAACCAAAACATGTATTAATTTCTGTGCTTATTCATGGTAAGATATTGTTTTTGTCCAAAAGATTTTATAGTATAAACCAATGTGCAAAGAATTAGATCTGAAAATAAAAGAAGAGTATTGCCTCCTTCATTTTACAGGTGGGAGGTGAAGCACAGAGAAATGCTGCCTGAAACGCAGACACTGAATTCAGATTGAGTCCCAAGTCTGTGCTGTCATAATGCCAACAGATCCTCCATAAAACTTGTAGTAATTCAATGTGAGATGTAGGCAGAAAAATATAAAGATCCACATTCCAAGATAATATTTAAATTCATGTATTTACTAAGCTAATTGTCATGTCATTTGAATTGTGTGGATACACCTCTCACTATGATCATGTATTAAGAAACTTACTTGTTCTGATCTACCTATAACAGGATATCAGTGCTGTTAACTCAACTAATTAAATATACTAGATGCCTTTAAATCAGATTAATAGTGTTGATATGTAGGACTAGCATTTTATCTAAATTCCAAGCTCATTTAATTGGTTCCATTTTCTCTTTTGAGTGGGACTTAATTAAAATCTTGACCCTTAAGCTTCCACATATGCAGAAATCCCATTGTCTCACTGTGATTTAGAAGATTAATTAAGCCTCACAATGCCTGTGAGATCTCTCAAAGACAACCCTCCTCATTTCCCAGTGGAGTCACAGCTAAGACAAACTGTTTAACCTAGAATGACACAGTACACTGGATGGAGAGCCCTGAGTAGAAGTTAGGAATCTTGGTCTTCAGTTTCCTTCTAGAAATTCCCTTTATGTGATATGATATATATTTAATGCCTATCAGCATTAAATGGCAATTATACAAACAGCTGAAAAACATTTGGGTTTAATTAGAGAACAAGCAGAGGGACTGAAAACACAGTTCCAGTGCACAAACCATGGTTCAGAGAAAATGCCACCTCCCTAATATTCTGCCTCTGCCAACTCTGCCAGAATTCGGTTTCCTGTGGATAGCATCTTGTTACTACTGACTGCCTGGAAACACTGAAGTTCAGTATTTCAATTTAGAAAACTCCCTTAAATTTTTTTCCCTAAAAATATCTCTTCAACCCAGTAGTTGGGACAACTCAGCACACAGAGACAAGAAGATATTTGCCAATCCTTTGTGAATTTGGAATTTTTAAAGACATCCTGACAATATATGGCCAGAACCTCGGAAAACAAAAAAATCAGAGGCAGGAACCAAGATTTTGCTCATCCAGCACATTGCAATCCATTCCACACTCGACTAATAAGTACTAACCTCAAATTCTATTAGTGCATTTTCTAGATTCTTATTTAACTCCTCAAAATGCCGAGCGCTGTTCTTCATGTCTTCTACGGTCATGACATCCCGCTTTTTGTAGCTGTCTAGTTCTTTATTATAACCTTGAAGAGTTTTCTCAAACTGAGAACACCTGAGGTAAAGACAGTTAAGGTAATATGATGGTTTCATTCCTTTTCAGGCTTCAATTATTTTATTAATTTTAACAGGCACTGTCAAATGAAATCTGCGTAAACACAGATGCCAGTGAAAACCCAGTGATCACTTACATCAATACTATGCAGTTCACAAGATTAGAATTCTAGGCTCATTTTCAAACCTAACAGATGATTTACTTTACTTACCTTTGCTGCCTTTACTACCTGGAGAAAATAAAGGAAGAGTGAAAAGAATGTAACAAAACTATGTGTAATGCTGTACTAATCAATATGACAACATAAAATTATGAATGTTCTGGATCAATCCTCCATTCCTCCTTTCAGATCTCTTTAAGCATAGGAATATTCTAATCTACTCTCATGAATAGTATTTTTCTGAAATCTCCATCACACTGTAAACCAGGTTTCTTCCTTACTTTCTCAGCCCCCTTCTAAGTTTTCCCTCTTTAACATTATCTCCTTTCTACTGATAATGAGATTTTTCTTGTCTAAAAATACCCAGTGAAAAAAAAAATACTCAGCACCATACCTTTCAATCAACAGCATCTCTACATGATCCCTCCTTTTAGTTGACAGCTGTTTACTGTCGTCAAATATTTTCTGAATCTGATCAGGCCAATGGAAAACTGCACTATTCAGATTTATGTCATCACCTAAAATTAAAAACGCATAAACATCTTTAAGAAAATGCCTTTTAACCAATGATCCAGGAGAATGGTTGTTATATAACAGAATGCCTACTAATAAGCAAAATAGCTAAAACTATGTTTAGGAATAAGCTAAGAAACTGGTGGCTAGACTATCTTCACTGCAAAGAAAACTGTTCCCTAAAACCAGTTAGATTAATAGCAAAACTGTAAAATCGAGTTAAGAATGTGAAATTCTCTAAATAAGACCTTAGCTAGGCAGAGACAATTAGTAAGAGCAGCTATTCTAGAATATCAATCCCATTCCACTACACACAGACACAGACCACTCCTAATTATATATATATTATACCTACATTAGATGGATAAAGGTTTACAACATTTCTAGTCCACAATCTGTAAATGCTGAATTATTCACAAAAGCTAGAGCATAACAACTACAATGACCAGACATCTCCATCTTCCTATTTGTCTGTTTGTTCAGTGCACTTAGCTCATTATAACTAATGCAGGACACATGCTTATAAACACAGCTACAAAGAATATGTAATTGTGAAATACTGTAATTACAAACACTCCAGTCCAAAATGTAACAGAAAAATATCCTGGCTTCCACAGGCATCCTAATTTTTATCCTAAAGTCAATGAACATGGCATATCCTAGTTATTTCTATCACTGTCTGATCCAAGAGAGTTTTCTGCTTAAGGACAAGGTATCATCCTGCCACTAAAATGGATATGCATTCATAGAACTGCTCTTCCTTTTTATGTTCAGCAAGTAACAGACAGCATCTGTGAATGGCACATTTTTTACCTGAATAAAAGTGCAAACTAAAAGCAACTTCTACAGATGTTTCTTCTGTCTTAAAGTACATTTATTACCCAAGAGCAGCAAACCATCACAGCAAGCCAACAAAAGGCCTGCTCTGAGCTAATCCTCAACTGCAGAGATGCAAGTTCTCACACTTCCCACATGCTGTCAATAGAGCCTTCAGGCACAAGGCTTCTTAGATGACTTTTCTCTGAAGAATTTCTGCTTAATAACATAGAAGTGTGACATCATTTGGCCAGATTACATAACATTAATTTGATAAGACCCAAAACACTCTCTAAAACACATTGAAAAGCCCTGTCTGTGCTGGGTGCCGTTTCTCTACCATTCCTTCCTTGCAGTACTGGTACATTTTGGCCTCTATTGAATTCTTTTTATTTCCTTTCCGTCTCTTTTGGAACTTTCCATTAGCATTCTACAAGATGTAACATTTGGACATGCAGAGCCCATTATCTACACATAAAATTTTCATATGGAAATTTTATATTCTGTAGTTGAGACATACGAGAAAGATCAGCATAGTCCATGAGCACTTGCAGTCTGCGTGTTGCTTTGACGAGGTCCTTTTTCAGTTTAACAACAGTAACTTCACTGGATTTCTTTAAGAATGCATCATATTCCACCAGCTGTTCAGTGTTCTGAGGCACCTCACTCATTTTCTTTGCAATGAAGTTAAAATCATCACAAATTCTACAACAAAAAGAAAACTGACAGATCACTGGGACTGTAAGTGAAAAGAGATGTAAGATCTTGTAAATTCATTTTGTCTTTGAAACAAAAATATTAAATTTCTTCCTAAATTAAACTCTCTTTTCCTATGAGTTCTAGCCAAAGCTCCCTGTTCAGCCAGGCTGGCCTTCCCCACTGGTTCATCTTCTGGCACACGAGGATGGGCTGTTCCTGTATCTGTAAGATTTTCTTCTTAAAGCATGTCCCTCCTTCCTGGACTCCTCTGCCCTTCAGGACTGACTCCTGTGGGACTCTATCAACCAGTGTCCTGAACAGGCCAAAGTCTGCCCTCCAGAAGTCCAAGGCAGCAGTTCTGCTGACCCCATTCCTCAGTTCTCCAAGACCTAAAACCTGTATTGCTGTGCCCAAGACGGCCTCCAACCACCCCATCGCCCACAATGTCCTTCTCTGTTTGCAAACAGCAGGTCCAGCATCGCCCCTGGCTGGCTCCCTCACCAGCTGAGCCAGGAAGTTACCTTCCATACATCCTAAGTTAGCCATTTATTTTCAACTATTTCTGTTCCTGTTAATTTTAAATACTCACTTTGGTATCTTTGCACGTGTCTGGTCAGCACTAAGAAACCTAGCAAATGAATAAAGTTATCCCATCCACAGACAGAGAGCACCAGTCCAGGCAGAGAGCAAGAACCATCCACGCAAACAACAGGTACCTTTGATTTAACTCTCTGTTTTCTATCACTTGAAATTCAATCAATTTGTCTTTCAGATTCTGGGTCCGATTGCAGAGTTCCTCATGCAGGTGTAGAGCATCCAGACAGAACATGGCCAGAGGAATAGTGACATGCATAGAAGCAATCTCTCTTTTCAGTTTTGTTAAGCTGTCAATCTTCTACAAACAGAAAATAATACATCTGTTATTTTCCCTAATAGTCTATGGACGAAAAATGCTAAACAACTAAGAGTTTCCATCCAACAAATGGATAGTATTTTCCAAACAGAAGAAGGAAACTAATTTTTATCTTTCCAGAGCTTTGCTCCTACCCACAGACTCCAGGGCTGAAAGCTTTGCAGTGTAATATCCCATATTAGGGAAGACCACAAGATGCCTAAAGAAGTATTTAGCCATATGCTAACTCAGGAATGCAGAGAGAAGAGTTGACAGGGCTGACTGAGGACAAGATATTCAAAAGACAAGTAAGTTGCAGATTGACCAAATACTCTGGGCAGCCTTCCACTGGACCTTCTGCTAAGGAAAAACAACAAAACTCACAGAAGATGGTCATAAAGAAACCTCCTCCTCCATTTGCACGGCAGCCCTACAGTAAGAGGCTATGTAAATTGTGTAATCCCAAGGGTGAAACAAGTAGTTTATTCTTTAGGCAATATATTAGGAAGTCAAGTGTGATGTGTGAGCTGCCGTATGAACACGTTGCAGTTGTTGGTAACACATTACCTCAGTTAAAGCTTCTAAAGAAGGACCTTTTTTCCAGAAATCTGTGACATCTTGCAGTGCCTCATTGTTCAAAAGATTGCTGTATTTCCTGTACACATTTAAATACCTTAAACACAGAAGATCACAAAAATGACCATAAGATTCCAATATGAAGCTTCTCTATAAAAAGAAACAAACACACTCAAACTATTTTTGTCAAATGGACAGTGTTATAAAACTGAGGGTTTGGAAGGTCAATGGAGTTATCAGCCAAAACTTACTTCTGTGGACCGAGTATGTTGCTCTCAAAGATCTTTTCAAGTTTGTTGATATAGTCTGAAAACAATGATTCCTCTGGTTTGACTGTACTGAGAGTGAGATTATCTCTTTGTAATTTTGGAAACAGAAGTCTTTCTACCTAAAGGGAATCATTGTAAATACTGTAATAACACATAGAATAGTGGAAATAAGGTATTGTATTACCCATTCACCCACCACTTCAAAAAAATTTATTATTTGGTAAAAACACTGCAATGTCAAAAGGCTCTGATCCATAATTAACACCTAGTTACACACATAGTTTGCTTGTGAAAACTATATGAAAATCAAACCAGTGAATCTGAAAAATATCTTCTATAATCACAGAAGTTCACACAGTTTGTGATACACAACCCTCATCTTTATCTTCTATTTGTCAGTTTTTGGCTTCAACCTTACATTATAGATAATTTTTATTAATATTGTATTTTGTATGGAGCCATAACTTATCCAGTACCTTTGGAAGTTCCTCAGCACTGCGCAGGATCTCCTTGAAGGCATGACTGAATAAATCCCAACATCCTCTCAAGGATGGCTCAAAGACAATATCAGGTTCCTTCACACACAGTCTCACTCTCAGTATCTGAGGTATAAAGAACTGTATTCCTCGATATGGTTCTGTAAAATCATTTCCATCCTTAGGGAAAAGAATGAAAATTTTACTTAACAATGAAATGAGCTCTAAGAATAATAATTTAAAAAATATTTAAACTCCCCCAAGCATCTTAACTATACAGCACCAATGGGATCGTCTTCCCTGATTCTTATTCAAAACCTGATGTTCTAAATAAGATCTTAAGGTGCTGACTCCTAAAGGAATCTATAAAAGCTGGAATTAAGAAACTGGATTTAAACCTAAATGCCTTGATTTTCCATTAAGTAACAGAAGTAAAGCACTAATCACTGTACAAAACTAAAACTCTGGAAAATAAAAATCAGACATAAAATCTAGAATCCTGTGGGTTTTTTAATTGCCTTAGGTTGGTAAGAACTGCCCTATCCCCAACCTGTCTTTACAATAGTGGAGTCCTAATCCATGACCAGACTCGTAATGTAGATACTATAATGATTTAAAAAAGAAACAAACAAACAGACAAAAACAAAACAAAAAAAAAGCCCACCCAAACCAAGCCACAAGACAAAAATTAAAAAATATTTTAAAAACCCAATGATCATCACCCAGATGCAAGGCTTAGTGGCAAGGCTTAGTGCAAGGTCTGACAGTATTATATAGCCAGTGATCTTCTGGCTGCAATGCAGTATTTAATCTGCCACATTCATTCATTTTGTCTTATCATGGTAGCTCCTGGGTGATGCTATATTTAAAAAATTCATTTTCACTAAGAGGCAACTTTATGGTAATCAAAACAGTGGTAAAAACTCTCATGGTATAATGCTTATTATTATAACTTTGTACATTACATGAAATAATACATGGCACTCATTGGGTATAGACAGGAACAGCACATACAAAAATCACCTCTGCAAAGGATTACACACTTGACTCTGCACACTTTTGACTTCAAAGTGGATTATTCCTGAGCTTTCAGAGAATCATGTGTAAAAGTGTTTTGTCTGTTAAGACCAAGAAAAATTAAACTAAAAATAAAATAAAATAAATGACGCTCTCTCAAGACAGAGTTGAAAACTCCTATAAGCTGTTGGTTGTAACCCCAGGCCTGTGATTATTCGAGTGAGCAGCTCTTGACCATGCTAACAATCCACTGAGTATGCACAACTGAAGGACACAGCCAATTTTTATGGAGGCAAGAGCCACGTGGGACATTTTAGCCTTCAAAGAGCATTAGATTTTATGTCTATGTGAATCACCTCCATGTAAGACAAAAAACTATAGATACACTTCACAGCATATACCTTGTGGATCATAAAAAATTCAAGAAGATCTTCTAAGGAGTTAACAACCATCTCACGTAACTGTAACGACATCAGAGCTGCCACTGAACTAAAATAGCTTTCAACTCGCTCAGAGGAATCAGAGTCCCTTTCAGGAGCAAAATGAAGCCATTTATTTTTCTGATCAATGAAAACAGATGCACAGGTTGGGATCCACCTGCAAAGAAAAAATATAGAGACGAAGTTTTTAGAAGCTTGTTAGTCTTACTTTGCTCCTTGCAACGAAATCTAAGCTCAGAAATTACCCAAAGAATGAGTAAGATGCAAAGGGCTAGAAGAGAATTGTTAACTAGATATGAAATAAAACTGTACCTACCAGGACTTAGAGGAAACCTGAGTTTTAAAGCTAAGGATTCTTGTTATAATAGGCCATACAATTAGTTTAAATTATTAGCAATAAACAAAATACTACTGACAATATTCAATAACTAGCATTAAATGGGAAATGAGTTTGGAAGAGATCTCAGGTGGCAGAATACAGGCACCTTCTCTCATGTGCCTCATATAATCTCTTTCTTTAATTCATCGATTTCCATGGTTAAAAAAAAAGGTTTTCTGTCACCATTTTTACAAATTTAGACTCCACTCCTCTCATAGTTAGAAACCTTCTGATTTTCAGTCTACATTTACTCATACTTTTATTACCATTTGCTCCTGTACAAACATTCTTGCAGTTCCAATGCGTCTGTCATCATTCAGATGTTTATTCCTTTCTGCTATTTACCCCTTTGTTTTGGCAGCCTTGTGGTTGGGACTAGTGTCATCTCAGTCTAAGGTATGTTTTAAAAAGGGGCCTTCATGTAAATCAGACCCTAAAACACTCTATTTACTGCTCCTGCAGTTGGCACTGACTTGTTCTGAAGGATGTCTCGAGCTTCCAAACAGTGTCTTCGAACGATCTCCTCAAATTCATCAGGCAGCAGTGGCAGGTGTCCACAAAGCATCTCTGCAGTGCGAACAAACCTTAGATGGCTGTACCTGTGGAAGGAAAACAAACAGTAGATTTAAAAAAAAAACACCCATGAATAGTCAGGAAGGTCTCATATGTACTTATAAATATTAAAAATACGATTTTATTGATAGGTATCACTCCATTGCTAAGCTGTCCGACAAGAGCATTTCTCATGGGGTTTTTGTTATCAACAAACATGAAACGCTTAATAAATTTAATTTGGACTTGCTTTATTTAAAACTAAATCTTGTCCTTTTCCTAGTTTTATTAGTGTATCCAGACATTAAAGAACATACAGAATGACACCTACTGCTTCTATTCCATATCAGTGAGTGCCTATCCTGACTACTCTGTAGGACACATATCACAGTCTGTAACATGCAAGACTTTAAATTTCTGAAAATGTTTCTTAAATGCTAATCCAGCTCTTAGGATTACACTACCATTTAACTTCATAAGATAACAGATCTTAATTTTCTAATGTCCCCAGAGCAAATTCCAAGTACAGACATTTGAAAGATACTCAATTTTATGAGTTAATTTTGTTAAGTTCAGCAATAAGGATGAGAATTCCAAATCACTATTTACTTGAGTGTTGAATTTTAATTTAGGGATTCCATCTTATAATGAAGGGGATGATCTTTTCACAGCACAAATATACCCATTCTTCACTGTGGACATGTAAAATGTGTTCATGCTTGCATTCAGAGACTGCAGGAAACAATCATTTTACACTGGAATTCTTAGAGGCTCAGAAAAAAGAATTACTTAGAAAACAGACATATTTTGCCACTTTGTAGTGGCTCCCTCAGGATCTCCTAAGCATACATAGAGAAGTCACAGCAGATGCACTCTCTAATCAAGCCATTAAATAAACACATCCTGAATTTCATTAAGATCCCGTGAACAAGGCATCTTACTCAGAAAGCCAGAGGTCTTGCAAAGTCAGCATCAATGAATTCACTACGAATAGATTCCTTTCATTCCAAGTTTTCGTTTCTCCATAAGAGCTGTGCCATGGGACTGGTCCACAGACAACTCTCCGGGGAAAAGGGCGTGGGGTACTTCGGATAGACAGTCTCTCTCTCTCAGCTGGATCCATCAGGACATAATCAACTACAACAAATCATTTATATCATGGTGAGACTGCATGTATGGTTCAAAACCTACATTCAACAACCCTACCTCTTAACAGTGCAGGAAGCCGTAGAATTCTGCACATTTAAAACTAACATAGTCATATCCTTAGTTGTAGGTGTTTAGGATAAACTACAGCATAAAAATTAAGCTAAAAATTTGTCTATAAAATTATTTCAGGAAAAGAAAATGAGAGAAACTGGAATGTTATGTAGAACGATTACAGATTATTTTCTCGCAGATATTTGTTGTAGTTCTACTGACCCCAAAGAAATTCTCCACGGAGGCTAAGATTAGAATGAAGACTTGCCTTGAAAGTGCAATAAATGTCTACACACTGGGAACTGTTCAGAGATTTTGAGTCTTACCAATGGATTTCATGAGGCCGATATAATAGTCTGCCTTAATCTCTTCTTTCAACCTTGCAAGTAATTTCTCCAGGCCTGGGTTAGTAAGAATGTGAGTTGGAACATGGCTTAAAATTTCATTCATCACTTCCTCATCCTGAGGTGCCACCATGTCTTCCTGCACTCCATTATATATGTAGTAACAGTACCGCTAAAAAATGTTTAAAATATTACGCTTATTGTATGAATTTTCTGACAGACAACGAATTACTACAAAGTATTTTAGCTTTTCTAATCACTTGAACCTCTTCTGTAATTGAAAGGTGGTTGAATGAAATGGATTTTGGCTATCTAACTCTTGGTTCTTTTTAAAGCACTGCTAATGCCTGACATCTTTACAACACAGTCATCTGTTTTGCTGTAAGTATATATACCGCTAGAACTGAGTACAACATATTAAATTACTAAAGAAAAACTACTAGCAAACAACATGAGGGGTTAAGAATTTGGGAAGAACTTCAACTTGTGAATTAAACAATTTACAACAAAAATCAGAGTAGCTAGAAACAAATGAGAAAGGAGTTAACAATATTTAACAGCAGTTTGCTATATTGAATATTTACATCTTCTAAACCTCATGTACTGCCTTCTTTTCTCAACTAATTTTAGTAAACAGTTTACAGATATACTGAGGATGATTACTGCTGCTACTTTTGCCCTAAAAAGAAATTATATAAATACCTCTATATCATTGCTTGAAGGTGGCTTTTCTCGCTTACTTGTCTCCTTCTCATGTAAATCCATGACAGCAAATTGTTCTTCTGGGGTCAGTGGCTGGTTGTCTGTGTAATTTAGGACATGCAGGTCTGCCACATGAACAGGTGCACTCAGTGAAATGGGATTCAAAATGCTTAACAAAGTACTTTTGAAAAAAAAAAAACAAGCTTAGTGAATAAAGAAACAGTAATGGATAAGGACAAACTACAAGCCTTAAATAAACCACCTGCCCTATGCTGAGGACAAGTATAACCTATGGAAGTATTTCAATTACTCGATAAAAAACCTCATTAAAATTGTCTAATAGAGCATACTACTTTAACATAAAGAATACAACCATGTAAACCTTACAACTGCCTAGCATCCTCAGGCAATATTTTATAAGCCATTCTATCAGAGCCAAACCTACTAGCCCAGTTATTTAGGTTGCTCAAGATTTTCACGTGGTCATCTTATCAAAATATTACAACACAAAAGTCAGTCTTGATGCACACACATTTTTTTTAGAGACTTAACATTTCACGCTTGAATGCTTAACAGAGCATCCAAGTAAAAAGAAATATTAAATCACAACTCAAACTAGCCTGGTTGTAATAATCTGTATCTTTATAACATTACAGTATGTTACCTATCAGAACTCCATCGTCTTTGTGAACGTTTGAGCTTTTTTCTCGGAGCTTTAAATACCAGTTAAGGAAAATCACATGCATACATATTTTTCAAATAAGATATTATTTCAGACTGGTGAAAAACAGAGCTAAGATAACTAATCAGATAATGAAATAAAAGAGAACTACAATGTCACAAAGAAGTATTTAGGCTTGAGTTAGTCTTTAGCAAGATATTAAAATCACGTGTTAAATAATCTTGCTGATTCTGGGACTATAAACTAGCTTCAGGAAAGCATTCAGCTCATGCTTAAGACTTCAGAGCTTACTTATCTCCCTGCATAAATGTTATTTTCTGCACTGGGACTTTCTGGTTTCAATATAAAAGCACTTCTACAAGATGCATAGCTCCACCAAATATACTGCACACAAAAAAAAATTCAAATTAATTTATGGAGTTTATTTGATATCTTCAGCTGGTAATATACTTAAAGCCTAAACACCTTGGCTCTTGTAAACTGTTGGTAAACTTAAGCAGCAAAAGTATTGCAACTTAACCTTATTTGCTTTATATCACATGTTGTGTTGAATCAAGAGCATAAAATATTTCATAATGTAGAATTAACATGTGCATGCACAGTTTGCTAACAAATACATAAATTACATGGTTCAGAAGAAAACAGTTTGTTAAGCAATATTTCTTGGATGTGATTCTCAGGTATCATTTTAATGCCTGTCCCCCATCTTGTTTGGTAGGCAAGACTCATGAATATGAGCATATCAGGGATGCACACAGAATTTGTTTCTATTTTCCTGTTGGTACTAACATCTACTTCTAGCAATAATAAAAGCTAACTTGTAGTTTGTTCATTTACTGCTTTGCAAACAATTCCCTCCAAGTAATTACATATGAATATCTGGAGGGATGAACCTAACTAGTTAATCAGAAACTGGCCTTTCATTTATTAAAGTTATGCATGCATTGGGAAATTTGTCTACACTGACCCTGAAGTGATAAACTTATAAGCCTTTATTAGGGATAAGTGATTTTTCCAGGGATGATACTTTAACAGATAAAGAATTAGAGACAAAAATGTATAAGAAGCAAGGCTAAACTTATGAAGACATTGAAATATGGATACGTGGTGAGGGTGTCCTCTCCCCTCCTGAAGCCTGTGATAACTCTATCATTGAAGAGGACTTGACTTTGGACACATTTTTCATTTTTAAATCCCGTGCAGTAAGAGTGTAGTTATTAGCTATGGAGTCACTTGGGCTCCGGTAGTGACTCTGTTCCTTGAATGGAGCTGCCAAAGTCAAGGATGACTGTTGCATCAAAGGGGGATAGGCACTCTTCTGAAGGAGAAGCTGAAATTGGGGGGAAAAGAGCAAAAGTTTTACACAGCATAGTAACTGAAAAAGCCTTCTTAGAGCTAGAACAGGATTAAACACCAATTAGTATAAAAAGCAAATACAAAGGTCTGACAAGGACGTTTGACCATTGATCTACCTTTTGATCACCATGTTCCACACACATATAAGGATAATTTTACACAACACTTCAGTAGCAGTACTCCTACTTTTTTTTTTTTTTTTGCATAATCAAGGTCTTTTTTATAAATAAAAGAAGACATTAGTACATTATCTGGTACTTTCTACTCCCCCACATTGCCATCTTGCTGCTTTTCTTCTTCTCCTTACACTTGCTTAAAAATAGAAAATTCCTGTTCCTCAAGCTTTGTTAATGACCTGTCTAATTTTAACACAACCCTTGTAATAGTTGAACAATAGTAAAAGTTAACAAATTCATCTTTCATCTTTCTCTCTCACATCAGTACAAGATTTCTTCCATGTTTTCTCAGGTGACCAGGTTGGATATTAGGAAGAAATTTTTTACAGAGAGTAACCAGACATTGGAATGGGCTGCCCAGGGAGGCAGTGGATTCACCATCCCTGGATGTTTTTAGGATGAGACTGGATGTGGCATCAGTGCCATGGTATAGTAACCACAGCAGTGTTGGATCAAGGGTTGGACTTGATGATCTCAGAGATCTTTTCCAACCCAGTTGACTCTATGATTCTGTGATCTATTGATTGGCTTGTCCTAATGTCTAAACTCTAATGAGACAGCTCACAGGTACAAGGGACATGGGATCAAGAGCTATATTTCAGGATATCCTCAGAGAGAAAAAGTACATAAGATAGAATCATGAATGTACTTGGAACCACAGAATCATTAAGGCTGGAAAAGGTCCAACCTTTGCCTGAGTACCACCATGCCCACTAAACCACATGGCAAAAAAATGGGAATTTGCTACACATGGAATGTAATGTAAACCCTGACACAAGGGGAGAGAGCACGTACCTCCTGCAAGTCTGCAGGTGCAGCTGAAGCAGAAGCAGAAGCAGAGGCAGAGGCAGGCAGGGGCGGGAAGTCCGGGAACTGCTCTGGGTGACTCATGTTGTACAGAGAATTGTTTCGTGACTAGACAGAAATGAAAAACAACTTCAAAGATATTTATGAAATGTTTCAAAAAAAGATTAATGAAGTAAAAACAGCTGCTTTCAGTTTTTATTGAAAATTACATATTGCAACTTTTCTAATTTTAAGGCAACAAACACTCTGTGGAGTGGGTTCCTCAGCAAAACATGTTCTTTGTAGCAGTTTGATAAAACTTCTAGCCAACAACAAATGTCAGATTAAAAAAAACCCACACCTTATTTTTATAACACTGTAAACAACTTAAAGTTATTTAAATATTTTAAGTTATACTAAAAACTCCACATGGAGTTTGTAATGGCATAAACTCTGGATATTAAAATATTAAAGCCTACCAGACTGCCAAATTGACAGTGAAGCTGTGTGAAACATATTACTGGGCAGGAAAAAAAACTCAAACCCATTAGATAATTTTCATGTCTATAATGACCCAGTGCCAGAACCAACTATTGCTAGGATGCTGCTGGAAGAACAGATTGCTCAGAAGGACTCAGCAAAGTGTTTTAGTGCAAATGTCAAAACTGATATGTTTTAGGATTATGTTCCACCTTCTCAAGGTGCCAATACTTTGAGATGGCTTTCCAAGATTCCATATAAAGTCCTCTCAGGATATTTTCTCAGAATTACTTAGTCTCATACTGCTTTAAAATGCTTTTGAATGGCAACTTTACTTAGTACAGGCCAAAGCCTCACTCACAGTCTGCTCTGAATTTCCTAAATCCTGTTTGTTTAGGAGATTCATGAGGAACAAATTCCTGACTCCACAGTGACACTACCAGAAGGAGAAGGTGAGAACTATGTGGTAATTGATTAGGAGCAAGTTAAATCACCACGAAAGAGGAAATCATTACCCAATAAAATTATGTTCGAATAACATAATTATTTTTGCATAACTGTAACACATTTTTAGCACATGGTTATTGCTTTCTGATATTTCACTGAAAAACTAGGCTGCTGGAACCTAGTTTTCCAGCAGACAAAATTGTGACCTCCTCAATATCAAATTAGAGCCCATTTAGAAATAAAATTTGAGAAAGGACTGATTTGATTTGGTTTTCCCCAGCATGTCTGCACACACACACACACACACACAGAGAAATGAAGACATTACCACTGCCAGACGTAATTCATTAAAGAGAGCGTGAATTGCTCTTGATTAATGACTAAAGGATTGGGCCCTAGGGTACCTTAAACATGAATAAACTATGAAGTTTATTAGGAGTCATTCATTCATAAAGGTACAAGACTTATTTAAAAAGCCATTATTCATTCTAAAGCAACTTTTGACTTAGATGCCAACTAACCTTTCTAACAGCTAGATATTTGAGCAAAGGAATCCTTAATAAGTACATTATAAAGGATTAGGTCTAAAGAATATTCAACAAGTGCCTTCTAATTAGAGTTCTTCCAATGTCAAACCACTAACCACCCGTAATGGCCAATTTCATCTGCAGTTCTGAAAAAGCTACTGATCTTTCACAGTCACTGCAGAAAAAACTTACCCTCAGGAGCCTCAGGTTCTGCGTTGGCTTTATTTTGTTTTGGTCTTTTGTTTGCTAACACTTTTTCCGTCCTTCCCCTCACTATAAACACCCTTGTTGTTACATGCTCTGTAAAAGAAGGAGAGACTCATTTCAGGCAGTACACAAGGTGTCAATCAGCTTCTATCCCAGCTGCCAGGAAAAAGAAGAATCCCAGCTCTTCCCTGCCTTGTTTACAACAGTAAACCTTCCCTCCCTCCAAACCTTCATGCTTTTTCTCTCCGTTCTTCTCAAGCTCACTTTTCACCTTAATCTTTCTAATTCTCCCCAGATGTCTTTCAAGCTAGATTTTTTCCTGCCTTGCTCTTTTCACCTTCTCCAAAACCAACTTCCTTCCCACTCTTTTAATACCCCAGGGACTCTGGGCCCCCAACTATGGTTTACAGCAGACAGAGCCACACATTAATTGCCATAAGAAATAAGCACAACTCAAAAGGAATGGGAAAAGAGAATGAGAGCAATGCCCAGCATGCCTTACACATCCACAGAATGCGTGAGGGAGCAGGGTAAGAGCAGGTACTACCTGCAAGGTGTCCTTGTTACCAGTCCCTCTGCCTGTTCCAGCTGACACTGCCTCTCACTCCTCAACTCTGTTGCCCCAGTTACAGCATAGCTGGTGCTTGGAGACTGGAATTCCCTCCTCCCTCTCCTTCGGCAGCAGAGAGAAAACAGCCCCTTTCAGCACAGTGTTGTGCCAAGCTGTGGTCAGGGAGATTCAGCTGTGGAACCAATGAGGAACTGTACAGGCTCCTTTTACCTCTGAAAGCTACTAAAAATGTAGTCTTAAAACACCTGAGATATTCTGACTTCTGCATGAAAATACTGCACAGAGCAAGGAAGCTCCTGAAGCAGTAAAGGCCATATAAACCCAAATTTTCTTAGAAGGAATTAGGAAAAAAAATATTAAAGAATCAAAATCTTGAACCCAAACATCTCCACCACTTTTCCACCATTCAGAATCAAATTCCCTGGAGATCTGAAGGCAGCAGGTGGGATACTCCCCATTCCTCTAAGTCCACCTGTATGCATTTGCCTCCCACTCACAGTCATCACCATGTCCTGAAAGAGTCCTCCATCAGATTTCTCCACAAATGGGAATTATTATCACCCAACATGAAATCTAGCACAGTCTCTTTACACCGACCATCAAGAGGGGCCTTGTCCATATTCTGACAACAAAGCAAGATTTCCATTTTAAACTCTTTCCCACCATCTTTGCATGCTATTTGTTTGCTCCAATTTTCTGTAAGCTGTGAGAATGGCTGATATCCCTGAGTCAACTAGTAACAGTTTTCCTTATATTTTGATGTAATACCAGCTATAAATGGAATATTGTTCCTGCCTGGCCAGACGTGAAAGTTCCTACCAAAAATGAGGCTCCTCTTTAAACAGTGTGGGGTACAGAACCAGCACTGCTCATGCTGGTAATTGCTTGCCCACTGCGTGCCTAACTCTCCAAATATTTCAGTCCTGGTTTGCAACATGAGTATTTTCCTGCTAATTGGAGCTGACACTGGCATGAAGACAAGCTCAATTAAGCAGCAGTTAGACTAACTACTGTTCCTCTGAGCACATCAACTCAGCTGCTCATATATTCATGCCCTTTGAAGTTAAATAAATGACTTGTGCTACTTGAGAAACATTAAAACTAGTTATTTTATATAGAAAGAGATTATATATGAATTTTCAGCAGAAAACATAATTATGAATAGCAGGAAAATAATTGACTAAGATGCACAAGACTATCTTCCAAACCACAGCTATGACATGTTTAAAAAGAGCCAGAAATTTAAAATCTTCAATATACTTTCAATGCAGTGGAGCCATTAAACTTTATAGTGCCATTATCACTGGATTATGTCACACTATAATTCTGCCAGTTACTTTGTTCCTATGCTCCCTTTAAAAAAAAGTATACAAAATCAACAAATTCAAATTTATTATTATATACACTGGTGTACTAGGAATATCAATACATGATGCACTTTAATAATATGTGAGATAAACACTTTAAGAGTGCAAGCAAAATAAACTTACCCTCACCATCCTCTTCTTGCAGGTATCTTGTGCTGGGCTTTTAGACCCCATGGTCCAAATTTGTGTTAATATACAACTCTTACTTCCACTGTCTACACAAATCCTTGTACCTGCAGAAATCATGGAAATCAGCATCTCAAAGACAGAGCTCTTACAGTCTGATAGGTTAAAACTCCCAGACTTCATAAAAATCTCTCTTTGCATTGTAAGACCAGCACGCTCCAAATTAAACACGCTATTTATTTTGTTGCCTTTAAAAACATAATCATGAAACCATTACCATTCAGTTTCGCAATACTCTCTTAGGTGGCAGCAATCAAAAATTATTAAAGCAATCATGAGAAACATGAATGTTTTACTTATTGTAATTTACAGCATGAAGAATTCCACTAGCAAAAGCTGGGAATTCCCTGAAGCCTCACACTTGCATGTTAACATCATCCTGGTGGTTCTGGAAAGCAGCCAGGCCAAACCATCGTGCAACACACCTCACCGAGCATCACTGCTGAGGTGAACAGTGCCATCTAAAATGCTGGGACACTGCAGGATTCATTGTTTTTGCTGAAAAACCAGATGAGTTTTTCAAGCAGTTATTCCTGATGTGGTGCACCTCCCCAGACAGGTTTGCCACGTGGCCACCAAAACACTCGTGGAGGCCTCGGGACAGGGTGGAAACGTGTGGGAACAAGTAACCGGGACGGGGGAAGGTGGTTGTGCCAGGTGATGAGTTTCGCAGCTGCCTGTTCAGGGCGTGACCGAACAGCCACAATTCGCTGCAAGATGCCTTGGCTGCCTCCCACTGCGATGGCAGCAGCCCCCCAGCCTGGGGACGGTGGGATTATAGACACACACTGAGCGATTCCTGGACTACAGAAGCACACAGAGCGATTCCCGGCACTCGGAGCCGCGGTGCCGGACACCCTGTGCCCCGGGGCCGAACGTGCCTCTGCACGCCCGCACAGTGGCACGGATACCGCACATATCCTCATTTCCCACCCTCAATTCCAGGAAACCCAGAGCTGCACGTCCTAAAACAACACAAAGCCCTTGGACACTCCTGAGGGTGCCCGGACCCGAGCGGCTGAGGTAGGGCCGGGCTGAAGGGCAGAAGGAGCCACGCGCAAGGGCACCGGAGCGGCACCCATCGCAGCCCCCGCTGCCCTGCGGGGCCCAGCCCGCTCCTCGCTCAGCACCCGCCGCGGAGCCGCGCCCGGCGGGCCCTGCCCGGCCCCCGCGGGGAGGAGACAGCGGCGGGAGGGCGGCGGCGCTTCCCTGGGCCCCGGCAGGCCCGGCAGCGAGCGGGGCCGCGGCCCGGCGGGCAGAGCCGCAGGTGAGAGGGACGGGCCGGCCCCGGGCAGCGGGGCAGCCCCGCTCCGTCAGCCCGGCCACCGGCGCTGCCCCTGCGGCCCGGCCGCCGCGGGAGGGCCGGCGGCCCCGGCGCTGTGGGACCCCCTCACCTCCGCGGGGCACCCGCTGGGCGCCGGCGGCGCGGCTGCAGCGGTGATTAACGGGGGGTGATTAATTAACGCGTCCTGAGCTCGGCTCTCGGTGCAGGCCGCGGGCCGGGCGGCGGTAACGCCCGGGGCTCGGGCGCGCCCCGCGGGCGGCTCCTGCCCGGCGCTGCCGGCGGCCAGAGCTCAACCTCGGGCGTGAAAACACCCTGTAAAGCACGGCAGGGCCCGTGGGCACAGGGCACGGCAGTGACACCGGCGCGGTGGCTGCGAGGGTCTGCAAACAGGAAAATGAGTCTTTTAACCTCCCCTGCAACAACAGATGGGAGTGGTCGTGGGGGAAGGGGGATCGGTGAGCCGAGGCTTCCTTTAAACTGTCAGATTTTGCCTTTATACACAGAGTTTTGAAGCTGTACAGGGGATGTTTTCAATTCAGAGCACAAGACAACCAGTCTCATTAGTGTGTTAACTGGTTTGCAGCACCAGTAGCAACAAATTGTCCATACAGATTATTAAAACTGATCTGGTTTTGCTGCTAACCTTCACAGTTAAACACAGGGTTAATGTTATAAAGAAAGAAAGTGAGAGGCATCTGTATCTTGATATTTGGCTTTTGGGAGTTCCAGAAGAGCTTGCAGGGACAAGCCCTGTACAGTAGATGTGCTTTGGCAAAAGCAGTGTGTCACACTGTTGTGTATCACATCAACATTTGGCATCTACATTCTCTCTTTATAAAGAAGAAACATTTTATTTTCAAAAAGCACACGTATGAACCTTTTACTAACTGTACCTTAATTTCAAGGAAAATTGGATGGCTGGGTGAGAACTGGTAGTCCAGAAGAAGAGATCGTGACTGAGGATTGTACCGTATCTAAAGAAATGCAGGAACTGCAGAAGCAATGGCACTCTGTGGTGCAGATCATCCACAGCAACGCAAATGTGGGTCTGGAATATAATTTTATATATTTATGAAGTTACTCCTTTAATAACTATTGGGATGTCATAACTCAGTTTATTTAAATGCACTCCTTTTTTTAAAGTAAGAGCTGTGAGGCCTGTGAGAAGGCCTGTCCTCCCACGCCTTCAGCAATCAAGAAAAAGGGAAGCCTGCTCCATGTTTTTGTATTTTACTGGCATAACTATTAGAGATAGTAGAGTGGCATTTTAGTGAAGTGGTTGTGCTGCTATAAAAAGAACTAAAACTACAATATGTATTTCCTTAAGGGATTGAAACCTATTTCAGTTAAATTCTAGTGTATAGATAGGACTGCCTCTGTGAAAAGAATTTTTTTTTTTTTGCTGGTAACATTATAATTAAATTCTTTAAAATTCTGTGATACAGACATGCCTGCACTGTACTTAAATTCAATAAGTGAGCAGGTTGCAGATATTACTAAGCCACAGATAAAAGAAAAATCATAATTTTTAGATGTTACAGGGGGTTTTTTCCTAACAGATACAGTTTTCTAGATCAAAGTAATAGTTGCAAAGACCTAACTGAAATCTGCAGCTAAACTGCGATTTGGTTTTTTACTTGTTTTCAGATTGCTTGTTTGTTTGTTTGTTTTTTAAATAGAACTGGGAAGTCCAAGAGAAACAATGTCAAGTTTTGCTAGAATTATTGTATATATATAGAGAGAGAGTTTATATGCTATGAAGTTATCTAAATTTGCAGCAAATTTCCATGCTTTTGAAACAGACAACAGCTGTCCTCTGTTCAAGCTGCAGACTTGCAAAAGGATGTTCTCTGTAGTTCACTACATTAGCAGTGGTCTGTGAAAGTTACCTATGACAAGAAATAAAATCTGAAATGTTTTTCTTTCATCCACAGGTTGTTGCATTTATGAATTCTCGAGTTGGCCAATATTTAGATGACCATCCTTTTATTGCCTTGTCACTCCTGATGTTTATTGCAGTGTCTGCTATTCCTGTTGCATTTTTCCTGATTTTCGTTGTTACAACAGCTGCGATGGCCTGTATTGGTGTGATAGTCATGGAAGGTACTGTATGCATGTATGTACTTACCTATTCCCTTTCAAGGCATGTTATCTTTTCCTTCTTTTCTTCTTCTTTCTGGAATTCTGAGTCTGAGCAGTTGAGGATTTATGTGTGTAGTCCTCAGGTCTCAGCAGTTGTAGAACTATTAATATAAGAATAGTAATCTGATTAAGTGTAGTCTGTACAGGGGAAATCCTATTTCCTTTCTAATCTCAGCCACCATGATACATCTAAACCAGTTATCTTAACCATGGATAGCTTTCATAGAGGCCAGCCAGCTGACTGAGGAAGATTGTTTTCCCAACTGATTTGAAATTGTGGTTGTGGTAGAATGTCAGCTCTCTTTAATTTACTTGTACATAAACTTGTTTAAAGAACTGCTTTTGTTTTATTAGGTGTTGTGATAGCCATAGGTGGCATAGCCCTCCTGTGTGTGCTGTGTGGCCTGGGGGCAGTTTCCCTGGGAGTTTCTGGAGTACTGAGTATTTCTTACATTGCACTTTCAAGTCTGGTCAACTACTGGTGTTCTTCAAGGTGAGTATGGATGTCTTTATCCATGCTTGGATTTCAAACTCTGCAACTGTACTATTGCATTGACTACTGCATTAATTTTAAGTAAGTTGCTTAGTTTAACAATCTCTTGAGTGCTTTGAATCTTGAGCTACACCTTATAGCTTAATGTGCAGTATACAGATATTCAGTCAAGATGTATTTCAGTAAGAGTTAATACATGCTCTTCTTCCTTTTTGGGAAAGAGAAAATGTAAATGGTTTTTAAATGTGCACGTGCTAACACAACACATTCAATAAAGTACAGCTTTGTCTCGCTGCAGTTTGTTGCTTTAAATATCATTAAAACATGCTGCCAAATTAAATTTTGTGTAGAGGATGAACTTTTTGCAGTTCTTCCTCCATGATAACCCAGCTATCTCTGCTTACCTGCATTTGTAGAGTAATGGACCAAAATTAGTTGTAGATTTAGGATAGGCAGAGTGGTACTTAAGAGGGACAGAGTGGTCAAAGTAGCAGTAACAGGTTGCAGGACACTGCACGTGTGCAGCTTGCCATTCACGTTTCCCAGGACTTTGGGCTCAGAAGCCCATTACAGTCAGCATTGCCTCAGCCACACTTCCCTGAGCACCTGGCTGGGAGCAGGAGGCACTGGCAGATTGTGCTGGAATGCCACCTCTGGCACCTTGAGATACCTGCCAGGGAAGGAATCGTGATAATCACTTAAGCATAGGGAAGAGCAAGAAATAAAGTTACAGCTGCTCCCTCTTAGACTTTCTCAGTTTGCTCCTTCAGCACAGAGCATCCTGTGGAGCTGGTGGTACCAGCAGGGTGACAAAACCATGGTGCAAGTCCCAGTGTGTTCACATCTGTTCCAGGGCTCTGTACCACCCCTCCAGGGCATTGCTGCCAGGTCCATAACATTGCCCACCCGCTCCAGAAGATTTCTATTTTTCATAGTGTATCAAGTGCACAACCCAACCTGTTATATTGACTTACAGCTCTGATGTTAAAACAGATGATACCTGCTATTTTTACATTCCTGTGCCTTTTGAGAGAAGTTCTAGTAGACCAGCAGCAGATGTTCCAGGAGCCTCAGACAGGTTTACATCTGCACTGCTCAGCTTTCTTGAGTAAAAAGTTAAAATACAACAATTTCAGGGAAGAACAGACTGTAAAGCCATTCTTTTCTTATGTATACAGGGGTCAGCTAAGGAAGCAAGATGTTAATGGAAGTTTGCCACAGAAGAAGCCTGGCTTGGATGTTTCTGCCAATAATGGAAAGAGTGAGTAAGTGGGTTTGTCCCCACTTCCTCCATAGGCACTTAACTGCCCAGTTCAGACCTTCATTATGTAACTGTTTACTCATTGAGCATTCAGCCTTTGTGTGCTCCTTCTGGGAACTGAAAAGAATCAATGTACGTCTTACATAGTCAATGTAAAATGGATATTAAGAGTAACCATTAAGCAGCAGTGTATTGCAGTAGTAAGTGTATGTGCATGATGGAATGCTCCACAGAGCTTGGCCAAGGGATGTGATCGTGACTGGTACTGTTAAGTCAGTGGTAATTAGGTGAAAGAAAGAGTAGGGATTTGATTTCTCATTAGTTACTGGAGTTCTGGACATACTCGAAGTTTTTGTGCAGCAGTTGGTCATTTTGAAACAGAAGTACCAAAGCTCAGAACACACTCAGAATGCATTTTGAATGTGGAAAAAATACTTGTAAGCCTTAAAAGCCTTTGTTAAAATAGTATGCTAATGCTTTATATTTATTATACAGGGAAAATAAGGTTTTGTCATATATTAAGTCATGCTCTAAGCTTTTATATACCTTTAGATGTTACATTATTCCAAAGGGATATTTTTCTTGTTCTCATTGCCTCATTATAGCAATGGCATGCTTAAATGGTGCATTTTCTCCTCTTTGTTTAGGTATTTAAGTTGCCTGGTTTGCTTCTCAGTTGTAACTTCTTGTATGTTATTTAAACTTTTTTGGTTTTGTTTTTGCAAAAGCTATTATATTTTTTAAGCATTAAGAAACTGTCTAACTATATTAGTTTAATAAAGTGCTGTTTGTTTAACCAGGTTGTCTTACACTTATTCTGTGTATTCTACAATAAAAACAACTTTTCCACATCTGCTTCTAAGGTAGGCTACATTTCACCTTGATTAAAGTACTGTGGCTGGCCAGCATTGCTGAGTTACAAACTGTAGATTACTCCCTTTCTCATCCCTGTAAAAAAAATGCAGAAGTCTAAGATCTAAATTAGCATTTTACTTAGTTTTTCATGAACCAACATGCTATTTGGCTCCAACTTGAAGTAAAGTCTGAGCTGTAATGTTTTCCACACAGTATTGGTAATATTTTCAGCCCCTAAGGTAAGCTGGCTACATACTTCAGCAGCAGAGTAAAATAATCTTTAGATTTCCAGGAGCCCTTCATTTTAACGGTACATTAATTTAGCAAACAAATATTACAAAGCTATCTAGCCAGCCATCCCTTTATACCATCATCTTCTGCTGAAGGGAACAGGCATTGCTTGAGTTCAGCAGACACTAAAGCAAGTTGATTTATTCCTACTCAGAGTCTGACCCCACGTGAACCATTTCCTTCTGAATTTTAAATTTATTTTTC